AGTTCTTGGTCGCTTTCGGGGGCGTCGGCAGACATGTCAGTTTGGATCGTGGTATCTATTCATTAGAGATTAGTTTCTGGCCCTGCGTGGATCTGTAGCGCTAGTGGTTGGGGTGCATGCATACTTAAGCGACGAGTCACAGCCTGCGTTCTGGTCTCTCCCTCCCGTGGTAACAGCAAACCGTTCATGCGCTGGGCCTCAGCCCGAATATCCGAATCATAGTGATGTTCATCGACAGTAAGTTCTGGGAGAGGCCCCGGGTCTGGAGCATCATAGTCGGGCTGCTGCGAGGCGTGACAAGGAATGGGAGCCCCCGTGGCGGGCGAGTCCAACATGGACAGTGGGGGTTCGAGAGAGCGACCCCACGAAATCAACGCAGTGTCATACAACCCATCCACAATGGGTCCCTCGACATGAATCATCATCTCCAGGTTGTCGTTATCCTGGACGTTACTGCTCTGCAGCAGTCCAATTCGCCGATCAATTACCATGAACTTGGCGTGGAAAGTCCCGAAGATGGGCCGGTGGTAGTTGACGACCTGCAGGTCGATGTTGGGGATCTCATGAGCCGCAGGAAGCTGCACCTTTTCGCTGGTATATTTCTTCTCTGGCACTGGTAGGTGGTTCTCAAACAGCTGCTGCGGATCTCCGCGATCATAGACCATCTTCACAATGACTTTCGTTCCACGTTCGCCGGCTCGTCGGGATAGCTCTCGGAATGCATTGGTTACCAGTGTGGAGGCATCCGAGTGAATCCAGAAATTTGTCGCCAGAAACACTTCCTTCTCAGCTCGCACAATGCAATTGGCCATGTGGCGACAGAGATCAGGCAATGGGGCGATAATAGTCAGAGGGACTACGCCGTGGCTGCCCATCAGTGGCGGGGAGACTACACCGGACATGGGATTCTTTTCTAATGCGCAAAGCGCATCGTGGTAGATCTGATTCCTGTCAGGTATGTCTCTCCAAGGAAGGAAGTGATAGTATTGGCTGGTTAATTACCTTCAAGAAAAGGTCGCTGGGTTGAGTACTGCCCCAGTTACCACACTGCAGAACCTTTCGCAGTTCATGGTCGTCCTTGTCGACCGACTCGTTCGAATCAGATTTGTGTGACTTTGACTTCCGATCATGATACAACTTCTGGAATAGCTTAGTGGGCGATTGCGATGGATCCTGCAAAAGCTCTGAGGTGACGGTCTTCTCGTCATGACAGAGCTCATACACAGTGTCGGAGAGCATGGTGGTTCGCACTTGATTGGCACTTTTGGGCTGACGAAGAAACCAGAAAATAAACGAAGCCAAAGTCAGAGAATACACGGCGCTGACGAGTTTAAAAAGGGGTATCCAAGTGGATTCGCTGGCGGGACCCCAGGCGACTGGCGCGACCATGGCTATTAATATTAATAGTAATATGAAAGGATGGCTGCCTGTCTACGAGATGACGTATTCGGGGGGCTATCTACCGGTCAGCATTCAGATTCTGGATGGCCATGGGATAATATAACAATTAATTGGGGCCAATGCTGCAAATGATGTGGTGAGCGCATCCCTTGAAAACCGCAAGCAACTGGCGAGGGACGCGACCACGACGTCATGCGGGCTGACGATAACCAGTGATAATCAATTGAGAAACTGGCCGATGAGCAGTGGAACTGTTCTAGTAAGATTAATCGGTGGGTGGATCCACCAACTACCAGCTTGGCTCTGAAACAAGCTCCTGTCGGAGAGAACTGGGCAGAATAGGGCTGATCGAGTACTCGTGATACTGGACATTTTTGATCCCATTATTGTTGTTGCTGGTGATCGGCTTCCGGCACATAGTCGAAGGATGACCACCTCCACCCTAAATTCCCAGCTTTGCACCATGATTGCACCTTGCAGCTCAAGTATGGGTTCCACCTCATCGTGCCAACCTTATTGACGAACTACTTACCCCGTTGGGTGATTACTCAGTGAAAGCCGTTAACCTCGGTGTTAAACTGCAGTATCTCCTCACCAGTTCGGACTTGCCCCCGAGCCTGTCCTTTATTAAGCCGGCTTTATCAATCTATTCCCGAATTTCTGTATCCCCCTTCTTTTACTCCGCATTGCTCTCGGTCAACTCCACTCTATCTCAATTGCGCACCCATAGATTACCGTTGTTGATCGATTGCGACCATGTGAGTCACTACGACTTCGCAATTGGCCTTACTTGCTTGTTTCATATTCATTGACGGTCTTCAGGGTCTACACAGCATCCTTTGCCTTCTTCGAGGCACTCTGGGAGGTACTGTCCCCATCCACAATAGAACGTCGGTCAAGCTAACCTTCCAGGCTGGGGTCTCCCATGTCTTTGTCAACCTTGGCTCTGACCACCCCTCTATCCTCGAGGCTATGGTCAAGGGCCAGAAAGAAAAGCCCGATGCCTTCCCAAAGATCATAACCTGTCCCAACGAGGTGAGTCGATCAATGCAATCTCGTTGTGGATCTCGACCGGACACTAACCCCGCATGCCTCCTTGGCAGATGGTGGCCCTGTCTATGGCCGACGGCTATGCCCGCTTGACCGGGGAACCTCAGTGTGTGATTGTTCATGTCGATGTCGGTACCCAGGGGCTCGCTGCTGCTATCCACAACGCATCTTGTGGCCGAGCCCCCGTCTTGATCTTCGCCGGTCTCTCCCCGTATACCATTGAAGGGGAAATGCGTGGTTCGCGCACAGAATATATCCACTGGATCCAAGATGTTCCCGACCAGAAGCAGATCGTCTCACAATACTGCCGATATGCCGCGGAAATCCGATCTGGTAAGAACATCAAGCAGATGGTCAACCGCGCTCTTCAATTCGCTACGAGTGATCCCAAGGGACCTGTCTATCTGGTCGGTGCACGAGAGGTCATGGAGGAGGATATCACTCCTTACTCTCTCAATCAGAGTCACTGGGCGCCTGTCTCCCCATCTGCTCTCCCAACCGAAGGTGTTGAGTTGATAGCATCAGAGCTCGCAGCTGCGAAGAACCCCCTGGTCATTGTCGGTTACTCTGGCCGGGAGGTACGAGGTGTCCACGAGTTGGTCACTCTTGCCAACACCTTCCAGGGCATCCGCGTCCTCGACACAGGCGGCTGTGACATGTGCTTCCCTGGCGACCATCCTGCGTGGCTAGGCATGCGTTTTGGTGTTCATGATGCCATCAAGTCTGCCGACTTCATCCTTGTTGCCGACTGTGACGTACCTTGGATCCCGACGCTCTGCAAGCCTTCCGACTCTGCCCGCATTATTCATGTCGATGTCGACCCCCTTAAGCAGCAGATTCCTGTTGCCTATATTCCCACGATAGCGACTTTCCGCGCCGAATCAGCAACGGCTTTCAAGCAGCTCAACGAATACGTTGCCTCCAACCCCTCAATCCAGCAGACAGTCCAGTCGGATGAGAACCGTGCTCGTGGCAAGCGCCGCGCAGAGGTTTTCCAGAAGACCCGCCAAGCTATCTACAACCTCGCCCGCTTACCTCCCGGCGGGGATATCGCTCCCCTCAATGCCAACTATCTTATCAGCCAACTACGCCAGTCCTGCCCATCGGATACCATCTGGGCCATCGAATCCGTAACTCTCACTACTCACGTGGCCGACCAGATTGCCCCTACCCTGCCGAAATCCTGGATCAACTGCGGTGGTGGTGGACTCGGGTGGTCCGGCGGCGGTGCCCTGGGCATCAAGCTCGCCACCGACGCCAAACACGGCGGGACAAACAAGGGCAAATTCGTCTGCCAGATCGTCGGCGATGGCACCTATCTCTTCTCAGTTCCAGGGTCTGTTTACTGGGTTGCTCGTCGCTACAACATTCCCATCCTTACCATTGTGCTCAACAACAAGGGCTGGAATGCCCCTCGGCGCAGTATGCTCCTCGTCCATCCGAACGGCGATGGATCCCGTGCTACGAACGAAGACCTCAACATCTCGTTCGCCCCGACTCCAGACTATCCGGGTATCGCGACAGCTGCATCTGGCGGTACCTTCTGGGGTGCCCAGGCTGCTAATGTTGCCCAGCTGAAAAAACTGTTACCTGAGGCTATCAAGAGTGTGCAGAATGGTACCACGGCGGTCTTGGAGGCGCAACTCGATGGAACGAAGGGCAAATATGTCGCCGCGAAGCCTTCGCTGTGATGTTTCCTTTAACATATCATTACGCTAGTCACGTCTACATGAGTATTATGATACATGATACAGTCTTTTGCGAAAGACTGATGCCGCCTCCGATCGAGACAGATAGCAGAGACAGAAAGATAGTCTCATACAATACAATGAATAACCATATACACATGCACATTGACCAGATGAGTAAGACTACTAGTAGCACCCAATAGACAGGCAGTGGCCTGCTCTATGACCCGAACCCTCATGCAACGCCACCTCGGAGAAATACCTTACTCTACCTCTTCGTACATCGCCGATCCTCTCCAACCGAGTACCTAAAATTGATTTATAACACACTACGCGACCAAATATCCCTTCTGATTGGATCAAATCGCCCAACGGGAACTAAATCTCCGTTACCGGGAGTTGACTTCCAGCGCTTGGACTTCAAATTCTGGTCGCTAATCTCCGAAACCTCGGGTTTCTCTCCGGGAGATGCACCACGACCTCGCGTAGTTGGGCCTTTTCGTTCGTCCTTATAGACATAGCAGTGTGTTCCACATTACCCACCTTAATCTTCTAATTGGCATTAGCCGCCGACTGGATAGATCTTCGAATAGTGTTTTAATGGAAACGCTAATCTCTCTCACTTCGCTCCGCTAGCACTTGTAACTTGAATAAATCTTGAGTTCCAATGATGACAAAAAGGATGCTCAATACAGTGACTACTATTGAGCATTTCCTAAGTGAAACTCAGAATATGTGGGACTATGTACAAGGTTCCTTAAATTCAATGAATTTTTAGCCACGTAATGTTCATGAACAACATCAATATATTATTGCAATCAACTCATAATTCATCATTCCATGGTCACACTATTAGTATTTCTAAACACCACTCCCTCCCACCATCCTCCCCGACAACCCAGCCTGGCTCCTAATATTCGCCGCCATATAAATCCCCTCACTAATATACGACATCCAATAACACCCCCCGTATTGCTCATTCCACTCCTTACCGAGCAGATTTCCCCCGTCAGAACTACTCAGACCCCTAACCCGCTCCTCCACCGGCACATCCTCACACAGCATCATCGCCTGACGAGTGGCTTCCTCCCACAGTGAGCGCTGATCACTCGGCTCCAGGATTGGGTTAAGAGCCTTCATCGCTCCGGGACATAGCCTGCTCGTATCATTCTCAACATACGTAGTAGCAGTAGAAGTAGATTCCCCCGACTCACTTCCCCCCTCCTTCTCAGACACGCTTTTCCCAACAGGGAATGTATCCGGATTCAACGCAATAACCGTATTCAGCAACGCACGCCTCGAACTCAGTTGCGTAGTATACCTGCACAGACGTATCCTCGCGGAAGCCATTAACCAGCGACGAATCTCCGTACGAAGGGGGATAAGGTACGCGTGCGCGAAGATGGAAAATACTATCCAGAAGCAGATGTAGAAGGCGTTCCAGTCCTGTGTTGTTGCTGTCGCGATGGCGAGGGCCCATTGCGCTAGGATTAGGAGTCGGAGGAGCATTTTCAGTATTTGGGTGGAGAGTGGTGAGAAAGATGAAAGGAGTGTGTGGGTTTCATCGGGTTCGAGATGGCGGTTCACGAGGCAGTTGACTAGGGTGCTTTCGCCGTAGAAGATTGTCCAGTGACTTGAGTTGGTGTTTTGGGCGACGATGACGAGTCGGTTGTATGGCGAGGTCATGGCGTCGCTGTTTAGGAGGCGGCGGGGACCGTCGCCGTGGGTGAGGGTCACGATGGCGCCGGATAGGGGCATTAGCAGGAGGAAGGCTACGGCGAGGTAGCAACTGGAGAAGATGGCGAGGATTATGAGGCATATGAGGCTGAGGTAGCCGAGGAGGCTGGTGGTGATGTAGCGGGGGGAGAAGCGGGTGAGGAATGACCATGGCCATGGTTGTTGGGTGGTGGAGTTGGGAGAGAAGCGTTGGACGTGGAGGATTTCGAGATCTTGGATACGAAGTTCCTGCCTTGGTTTCTCCATGTTCGCGTGCTTGTTGGGGATAGGGTGCGCGGATTGCGAGCTGATGCATGTCCGGACTGTTTCTGGATTCGGGAGCAGGTAGAGGTCGCCGAATCGGCCGTCGATCCCGGTAAGACTGATGCTGTTGCCGTATTGATCCAGAATGGGGGTCTTGTTGTTGGGATTGCTGTCGCTGGAGAGGAGTAGTCGACTGCCTGACGGGGTGATGGCCCAGGACCAGAGTGGGCAGCTGCCGGTTACTTGTAGAGTATGGATCTTGACGGGAATGTCGATGAAATCGATTAGAGCTGATAAGGGCAGGATACCTGCTACTTGGCTCATCCATGGGTTGTTTTGTATTATTTTGGCTAGGGCAGTCGAGACTCGTTCTGACATGCTGGAAGGATGGGGTAGTGTTGTGGATGGGTTAGGGCTGATTGTTGCAGAGTAATTGGGTGACATCTCTCCAATAAATAGATCAAATCTCACTACTATAATAGAGCTAAAAGCAATCGTAGAAACACAAAGAGATGAAACGACTACGCGACTAGCAATGGATTTGTGTTGGACAGCCATTGGATACTTAGCATGGGACCCAGTGGCCAGCCTCGCCTTCAGCTGCATCGACATCTGCAGCCTAAATACAGTAGAAGAAGGGATCGTCTTGGGATGATATGACCAGTCATAGTACTAGACCATTTGGCCTTTCGGTCATATTTGATAATACAAGTGAAACCGTAAATGATCACTGTTGATGCATTCTTTCGCAGATCTCTCACTCCAAGGTGATAACTATAAATCTTCTTCCACCTGTTTGGCATACCCTGGGCTCGCCCTTGGAGGGGTAAGGTCGTATCTATGTGGGTTCTGGTTTTTTGATTCGAATCTGTCTCGACAGCATTTCGAGCACCTGCTTTCAGTTAGACTAGTTTGAATAGTAGGCAAGGCACATACCCATCTCTCCAGATCCCTCTCGTTTGCCCTCAATTCTTCGAATCGTTCGTCCAAGTGTTCTGCGATTTGCTATTAGACTGAAAGTGAGAAGAAAAAAGTAAGTAGCCCTCTCACCTGCAGTACAATGAAGAATATCCTGGATTTCATTGTCATTCTTCAGGCTCTCCAGAAACTTCCCTGCGTTGCTATCATTGCCAACCTGACTAATATTGAAGTTCACAACTACAGCAATGCCATAAGTACTGAGGCTAAGAGGGTAACAATGTGAGTGGCTAATACTTACGCTCCCTGGGGTATTCGTGTTTAGTAAGAAACTGCATACATTCAACAATCTTTTCCCGGAATGTATCGTGAGCTTCTGTTGATGGCTCACCATCGGTGATTGTGAAAATGAGCAGTGGTCGTGGCAGCACCTTTCCGGTATCGAGAAAGTCATATATGAATGGTTTCAGGACCCTCTTGTCAAGTTGAGTGCCCAAGGGAGTATAATCGTCAGCCTTGAAGTCCACTTGGCTTAGATCTTCCAGCTTGCGAATGGTGTGTTCAGCGTCCGAGTTCATGAATCGCAAGGAGGCACCTTCAAGCTTTTCGCCGGGCTCTTTGGGATTTTCTGGCACCGCTCTGGTCGCCACGCTGATGATTCGCTTGACCAACTCCTGCAGTGCCTCTAGCCTGGTTTTGTCAGAGCTTTTTATAGGCGTCTTCATTGAAAAACTATCATCTGTTCTCAAAGCTCAGCCGAGTGTGAAAGAGCCGAAGTCTGGGGGTTATCAAATCAGCCATACCACAATAGAGGACCGGTTGGTAGAGGGCCAGCTGGGTGAGTGTGGTGATCTGATCCGGGTTGTTTAGATGGTTTTTCGGGTCATTCTTTAGTTGGACGGCTTTCTTCGCTACTTCACGGAGATACGACTCATTGAGTTGACTGGTATGATCACCAAGATTGCTCTGTTTGACCAAGAATTCCACGTTTTTCTTGAAGTCGTCCTCGGTTTGAGGATTCTCAATGATCTATGCGCTTTAGCTGGGCCAGAGACGAGAATTGGATCAACGAACATACCTCTTGCGGTTTCGAAGAAGGGACAGAGCGCTGCGTAAGCTTTTCGGCAAATTTAAAGAGCCTTTTCACCAGATAATCGGATATTTTATCCATAAACCCCGGCATTCTCTTCATGAAGAAGTATTTGATCTTATTCCCGATTTTTGAGAAGAAATCCTGCCCAAAGGAATGCTTGGTTGGTGGGGGAGAATCCCCATCGCCTGGATTAACAACCATTGTTGCTCCCTTTTCCAAAGACAGGAATATGAAGCGTGGACTACACCGGGGATCCCCTTATGTTAAATACATACTCTGTTTTCATAGTCCTGTTCACTAGGAACATACAAAAAGAAGCTGAATCTGACGCACCGCCGATCCTTGAGTTCAGCTGCACTTTGACGCATCTCCGATGCTGCTGGCTTCAGCTTTGCCACAAACAGATGGATGACCGACATTGACTACTGTGTATGCAGGAAGTGCATTACTGTACAGTAGGCAACTGAACTACAGTCTGACAGCTACGATTCTATGCATCGGATGCTCCCCCGTCTGACATATCATATTGTCGCATGTAAGTACTTTCACTCCTCCATGGATCTTCCCACCACGACCCTCTCGAAATCTCTCATCCCCGTCGACTCATCACACTCTCACTGGAGAATAGCATCTGTCATCTCAGCTGAATGTTCAGTCCACCATCTTGCATGGATGCTTGCAGCTGCGCGCTGGAATATGTTTTGACGACCACTTGGGGGCTTCTACCGGGCCATTTCAGCCGTCTCAGCTACTACCTTGGCAAAAGCAACCACAGGATGAATGACGTGCTCCCTACTCCGTGAAATGCCGGGCAACGAAATCACTTGCATCTGTCACTAATGATAAGCTTTGTCGGACATGCTACTATCTAATTCAGCTGGTCGGCCTTCTTACGGTGGTCCCCGCGGGTCGCCGATACCGTACAACCATAGTGTCAGCGGTGAAGACCGAGTTTGGGACTCCAGCTATCATATGAGACGAATTGGACCACAAACCACCTCAGAACTTCTTGGAAGCAGCGAAAAATTACGCAGACATGGCAGCAATGAACTTAGATCTCAATCTTTTATGCTACCACCACCTTATTTCCCAAGACAAGGTGCACTCAAACTGCCAATTGTTGCTCGACATTCCTGAGCCCTTGCATGGCCATACTCCTTTGCTTCTTCCCCAGAATAATACCGACAATTGTTGTTCCAACGCCAACAATCGCCCCGATCTTTGGCTCACCAATCCAGCCGCAACTATACCTACCACCTTCCGAACCGTCGGCTTCTTGACTCAGCTAGGTCATGTTTGTATCGCAGCAAAGCTGTGCAAATGCGACCACGAAGCATGCCTCGATACGCGACAGAAGATGTACCGTAGTGCGCCCCCGTGTGAATGGCGCCCTTTCCGAGACTGGGCCCTTACTGCCATGTCCTGCCGGGAAGGATTGGCGCGAGACTGCAACAGCAAAAGCGGCTCGAAAGACGGACAGGTAGATTTCTTGAGTATGGAGCGATCAGCTCGCGTACACACACATATTATCAGCGCAGTTCATGCTTGCTACACCATTCTCGATGCATCCAGAGCCAACGATGGGAAGCGAATGATGCAGTCCACGGGCGACGGGTTCATGGGACCTGTCATTGACGTGCAGTCCGTCTGCAACTTGATTTTTTGGATGCTGAGCATCCTTGCTTGCCATAACCTGGAGCCAGCGGCCATGGGCCGTTGGGATGGCCACTATATTCCTCGGAGCGTCACTGTACCGGCTATTCACGAAGCCGCGCGGCGCATTTCCAACCTGAGCTTGTGCAGCTGTCGCTTCTGGAACCTGGTGAATGTCGCCGAACGAAAACAGAATGATCTACCAGACCTCATCCATAGCCTTGAACATGTAGGTCGGCGAGAAGCCTTGAAGCATCAAGAAGAACATTTCGGCTGTGCCCCGAACAGGTGTCAAACCGCGCACATGGATAGTACGCGTGTGCACCAGATGCATAAATGCAGCATGTCTGGAAATGATTGCAAGCAGGCGAAATACCCTGTGCAGGAATTGATAGCTAGAGTAGAATTGGGAGAAGGAACCGCGTGGTCGCGAGACAAGGAGGAACTGAGCGCGGCGGATGCCCCGTACATCGCCATCTCCCATGTATGGTCAGATGGGACAGGTGTTGGGATGTCTGACCAAGGTCTGGTCAACAGTTGTTTGTTTCAATATTTCGCGCGCATTGCAGAGAGGTTGAAGAGCGAAGGGATATGGTGGGACACGCTGTCCTTGCCACTTGAACCGCGGACCCGCAGCAGAGCCATCAATCAGATGCACAAAAATTACGCGGATGCCAAGTACACTGTCATCCACGACAGCTACCTACTCAATATCAAAGCTTATGATGCCGAAACAGCATGTCTAGCCATCGTGCTGTCGCCGTGGTTCACGCGCGGGTGGACAGCGCTGGAGCTGCGCATGGCGACTAAGGTCAAAGTTCTTTTCAAAGGCGAGAATGAGCAGACGCCAGCCATCATGGACCTTGACACTGACATATTGGCCTCACACCCCAATGTCGTTTCTCGTGCACACTGGCTAGCCTCCAAGGTCATCCGTCGGCTGCGCACTCAAGCAGTTGAATTCGTTGACGACATAATGGCTGTGTTAGGCCCACGACAGACATCACGCGTGCGGGATCGCACTATCATTGCGGGGCTACTGACGGGTATGCCTCAGTGCAATTATTCGCAATCTGAAAGCAAAATCACCAAATCAATTCTGTTCTACCTGGGTTTCGTTCCTCATGATAGTCTCCTACATGGTCGGCCGACCATGTGTGAGAAAGGCCCATTCTCCTGGTCTCCCGCTACACTGGACGAGATGCCAATAACAGCACGAATCGACAGTGATAGCCCCGAGCTTCGTCGCAAGCGCATGTTGAAGATCCAGGATGGCGGTGCGGTCGTTGGTCGCTGGCATTGTCAGACTGTGACCGAGCACCAGGTCCAGAACAATCTCATTGAGCCACATGGAGATCATGTTTCGGTAGCTGTGCCTTTTTACAATGCCCTCCTGCAGTGGACAAGTTGCCTGATTCTCCGAGAGAGGAAGGGGGATCGAGGGCCCGCAGTTCTAGTCATGACTGTGCCAACCGATACAGAACACCGCGAACGCTACTTGGATTGCCGCTATGTTGGAGCGGCACGGATCGCCGAGGAAAACGATGAGTATGGAGATTATGACGGCATTTGGAGACAGGAGGATCTGGTGTCCTCGTGCGATGCCACCGTGCGGATTGGTGCTGATAAGGACAAACATGTCTGCTGTGCCCGTGACGCCATGGAGCCGTGGATTGACAAGGCAACTCAAGAAGGATCGCGAGAGAGTTTTAAGAAGCAAAAAAAGAGCCTAGTCGAGCAGGTCGTCAACGAGAGTTATGCTGGCCAAGAACAAGACGAGAGTGGCCGTTCACAATTTACTCGACCTGGAAGATGGGCTAACGCTTCCCCACAGCAGGAGGATGAACGAAGTGTACATGATGCCTCCCCAGCCGACGAGGCAGTGGGAGAGGAACTAGTTTTGGAAGCCTTCAAGACCCCTAAGGCGCCACATATACTGCAACTATTCCTGACCCAAGGTGTGGAAATCACAGATGAGATCAAGGATAAACTAGAATTCAGGGAATTCAGCCTCCTCGCTTCTGTTTACCTTGCCAATAATCGCCCAGACAATGCTAAGCAGACGTGCGCACTGGCGTACGAGCAGTTGCCCTCGGGTGGTATTGCTCAGGGCACTGATCCTGCTACTGTTGAAGCTATGTGCGAGTTGGGTAGAACCTGTTGGAAGACGGGGTTACTGAATGAAGGACAATGTGCCTACTCAGGATGCATATCGTATCTAAATGAAGCAGACGATGATATGGGAAAGCGACGCCTCCGGTTGCAGGCCCTTGGAGAGCTCAGCTTCCTGTATTCCCACATTGGAACGATGAATGAGGCAAATTCTTGCTACCTGGGCGCACTGAAAGTAATCGATTCATCTCTAAATGTTCCCAATGATGTTTACGTGTTCTCGCACGATGCACTCACCCGCTTAGGTGACTTGTGTTCGCACAAAGACGCCGAGGACCAACGGCTAAAGACTCTATACAGCAGGGCCTTGAGGGACTTTGAAAGAGAGTTGGGTAAGGGGCATGCTGCAACCCTCATAACGGCACAGAACCTCGCTGCAACACTATTTGCTCAAGGGGAGATCGCTGAAGCGGAGGAGGTTCTCAAGGAAGTTATCCGCGCTATGAAGGATATGCTTGATGGCCGTCAACACCTATTGCTTTTACGGGCGAGATATGATCTAATGCGTATTCATATCTTACAAGGAAAAAGAGCAACGCCAGAAGAGGATCTAGAATTGTTTGCGCAAGAATGTGCAGCCAACTTACCCTCGGGTCATTGGTTAGTTCGTGAAGTCCGCCTTGCTGGCGGCCGCTTGTATGAGAGACAAGGAGAATTGCGGAAAGCGATCGGTTCTCTGGCACAATTAATAGAATCACCACCCCCAAATAACGCTGAAACATCCAGCGCTTATCTCCATGCGTGCACAGAACGTGATCTGGGGATATTTTATTTGATGGATGACAATACCCAATCAGCAGAGAGACACCTTAAAGCGGCGCGGATGCAACTGGAAGGTATCAGACTCGACAATCATCTAGACGTCCATGTTGCAGACTTATGCTTGGCAGTGCTGCAAAACGATAAGCTGCAAAACGATAAGTTAATTCTGGAAAGGGACAGTCAACAGCTACGCGATACTGCTGCCAGATTATTTCGCAAACCTATCTCAGGTATAGAAAGGATATGTGGTCCCACGTACCCCGAGACCCGAGAACTCGTCAGCCAAATGGCACGCTTGTGTGAGACAAGAGTACGCAAAGAGAGCAGCGATAGGATCGGTATTCCAGTTATACAGGCTATATATCATCTCAGTGAGCTTCTCTGTCGATACGGAGATGACGCAGCTTCTCAGGGCCGAGTGAAGCGTACAATTCCCTACTACGATGAATTCTATGGGCCAGAGAACCCATCGAAAGGACAAGCCTTCTACAGAGTAGAAGAGCTGGAACTCCCTCGGGAGGACGATGAAGTCATCATCGAGAATGCAACAGTATCACTACACCAGTATGGATCGAGGGAGACTAATTCAACTGAAGATAACTCCAGCGACAGCGAGGATGAGTCCGATTCCGAGTACACACCACAGAACCTAACGATCTACGATCTCGCGGGCACCGTGCGCAAACTCGGCAGTGAAGAGCAGACACAGGGGCTACAAGAAGGTGACCGTGTTCTCGCGTTGGCTGTCTATCCATTTACTAAAGAGGACCGACACAAGGGATTCCGAAACTACACAGTTGTTCCCGCCAGCCTGGTAGCAATTATCCCCCCAAGCCTCTCATTCTATGATGCCGCCGCCCTACCACTGGGAATATTCATTGCAGCAGAAGCGTTATTTCAAAGGCTAAGAGTCCCCATCACCTCCCTTTCCGCAGGAAGCAACAACAGACGCAGAAAAGGGACTGGGACAGTCATAGTATGGGGGGGCACCACCAGCCCAGGGTGCAACGCCATCCAGCTAGCAGCCGCAGCAGGCTGTACCGTGATAGCCACAGCACCGGGCAAGGAATTCGACTACGTACGACGCCTCGGAGCCAGCGAAGTGGTTGATAAGTATAGCCCAAGGACTAAGGAGGAACTCCTGCAGGCACTGGAGAAATCGAAACCGACAAGACTTCTGGGTGTAATCGACACCGAAGATACAGACATTAGCACAGCTATCTGCAAAGCTGTTGTGGGAAACAGTGATTTAGTAGCACCCGCATCTGATTCCCGCCCGCCAGATGCGATCACGTTCAAGGACACTGTGATATGTCGGAAAATCTTCAAGGAGTTTCTTCCGAAGGCGTTGAGTGAGAAGAGCTATGTTGTCGCTCCGAGTCCGGTGTCTCCTCCGAAGATCTCACATTTGCGTTCGACTGTTGAGAGGGCGCAGAAGAAGGTTATTACTCCGGTTTATTGTCCGTGATTTGGTGGGGTCTCAGCTACAATGCCAGTTAATTATGTCATATTGGTTTGTCATTTTTTTACATTCCTTGAAAGTGTTCTAGTGAATACTCTTGTCCTAGAACACCTAGGATGTCTGTCCGGACGGAATATCCAAGGGTAGTCTACGAAGCAAGTGCTAAACAGCTCTTACGTGTCAAAAATCACACAATACAAAAGCAAAAGCAAGTAGATTCACCTCATTGAAAGTCATGATAACAAACTGTGTAACAATCTCGGTTAGTAAAAAAAATGCATTACGATACCCATTTTGTGTTTCCCATCAGTTTCAGGTCAAAGCAACACCTCCATTGAGCCATTGAACGCCTTTCAATATTAATCGTGTCCCAGTTGCAGTGAATTCCCTAAACAACATCACAATCCTTGAACTTGCTGAGCTTGAACAACCTTCTTGCGTTGTCCCTGCCAACACGAAGATATCCATCTCGGCCACCCAGTGCCTCCTTGATCTTCTCCTCATCATCATCGTACCACTGGCAGCCATGCTCCATTCGCTCGTAAGGGAAGTCAACGCTGAACATCATTCGCTCATCGCCGAGCCACTCGTACAGGTAGCGCAGGTTCTGGGTACTGAAATGTCCACTGGTGGTGATGTAGATGTTGCGCTTGAAGTAGTAGAGGGGTTCCTTCTGGCAAACAGTATCTCCGTTCTTCTCTGCTAGAGGCCGTGTCACGCCCTTGACCCAATGGTCCATCCGCCAGAAGTCAAATGGGATGCGCTCGCCCATGTGTCCAATAATGACTTTCAAGTTGGGAAATCTATCGAACACGCCGTTGATGATGATTCCCATCAGGTGTAGTGCGACTCCGTTGCAGTAGCTCTGGGGTGGTCCGATGAGATACTTGCGGTCCTCGTAGGTCTGCTTGTAAAGTTGGGTATCCCGCAAGGGTGCGGCAGGATGAAGGTAGACCGGGACGTCCAACTCCACAGCCACTCTCCAGAACTCATCGTAGTCAGGCTGATCGTAGAACAGAGGTTGATCATCATCTCCCTCCCCGGTGTGTTGAACATCATTCAACAAGGCTCCGTGGAAGCCCAGCTCCTTCACGCAGCGGCGAAGCTCATGTCCCGCCTGTCTGGGATCGTGCATTGACAGGGATGCAAATGCTCCCAATCTATCACGGTGGTCCTTGATCTGGTCATGGATGTAGTTGTTTGCATCGCGGGCCCGTTTCTCGGCCTTGTCCTTGTCGGTGATGCCCTGAATACCCGGAACTGTCAGGGAGAGGATGCTGTATCCAATGCCGTTTTGATCGGACAGCTGCAAGCGTTCGTCTGTAATGGACACTATCTGGCGCTTGTAGCGTTCAACATCTTTAGGAGCGATGTAGAGGGCTGCCTGGGCATCAATCTCCTCATCCATGCCCTTCACCTCAAAGGCTTCTTCGATAGCGACCTTTCCACGCATATTGAAATATAAGGTTCGGTAACTTGTTTAAGCTTTCTAGTGAGATGCAGGAGGTATGTGTCAAAGTCAAAAGAAATTGAATTATTAGGTATAGATTAGATGATGCTTTTTGATTGAGATGATCCTCTGTTCAACTGGTTGAGTGTTCGAGGGGGTTTATATACTAGCTGCATCGCGGCTCAACCCATGGTAGATACCCCAATGATGTTTGGTGACAGAAGGTTCCCCGCAGACAATCCCCTCCGTAGCATTGGGTTCGAGATGGCCGGTCCTCAGCTTGAATTGCGGTGGTGGAGAGGGGTTTCAGAGGAGTATTGATTCCAGATGCCAATTTGACTTTCGGGTAACTGTTCCAAGGCCTCAACGCCTATAACATTGCATGTTGTTTGGAGTCGGTCTCAGCTGGGAGTTATGTATAGCAAATGTCATGAGGGGGCTTCCTGTCATACTTATTTCATCCGAGCTCATTGCTAGTGAGACATTGATCTAGACTTGGGTGTGGCAGCTGTGGCCTCACGCGGGTAGACTCGGATGATGGGAAGTGGCTTGTGATGGCTTCAGGGAGGGGAATACAACAAAAGATCTTGATGATCTCAGCGTGATCATGATACATCCTCTTCTGTATTAAAATTGGTCAAGGGATGGTAGCTGGCGTTGTCCCCAGCTGTGAAACCACAAACGACATTTGAGCAGATTTAGCCCCCAAAACTAGAAGGGCAATAGCCCTTGTTACGTCACATCGAAGAGCTAGATCGCTCTTTCCAGATTGAGCTGTAACAACTGTTGTAAAATTCTCTGATGTATAGCCTGAAGATTCTGTTGAAGGAAGTCATGAGACTTACCTTGAGCCAGCCTGAGCCAGCTCCAGGATTCGTCACCTACCGAGTATCCCACACTGAGAGGAATATGAGGTTCGTGATGGTAAAGCTCCTCCTGATGCAACTGTCGAGGCTCGTATATTAACAAGGGAAATACGGATTTATGTTATCGTGTAATCTGAGGACATACGTAGCTCAGTAAACTTTCGTGGTGGTATGTGGGTGGTCCGATGGAGAGAGAGCTACACAAACCCGCGTCCCATCAGATTGTGTACATTCGAGGGACTTCTGTTTAAACTCAAGAGGCATTGATAATGGAGGGAATATCGGCAGAGTAATAGTGTGTTCCTGTAATTCTTCATTGGTGGTGAGCACAGACTCATGCTTTTCTCCTGCCAGAAACCACATGAAAGAGGGGTAGACCCAACAAATGCAGGCTTACCACGTAAATCCCCTCCTCTAAACTTTACCAGACATGGCTGTCACACCAGTAATAGTAGCTGTGGCTCCATCTCTTCAAGTCAGACGTGTACACAGGTTAGTCACTAACTCGTGGGTAGGCAGTTCCAGAAGTCGTGATAGTTCGTTTCCATTGCCTATTCGGGGACAAGACCAAGATCTTATCGGGTTGATAAGCAAGTCCGATGCCGGCGATAGCCTTATCTAGGCGCGGGGTTGTCACCCGAGCGGTAATCTAATTTCCATGCATTCTTGCTGTTTGTCTGGCAGAAACAGTTGTTGGTCCTTGCTTCAGCTCGAGCTTTCCCCTCATTCTCTTCAGGCCAAGTCGGATCACAAAAAATATTACTCGATGTCCCACCAAGCTATCTGGTACCGACCAATGGCTCTTTGCTGGAGAAGCAGTTAGATTGAAGTTGCCTTTAGTACCTTTGCAGGCCCAACCATACGGAGACTGTATCGGGAATACGAATTACGTTATCGCTGCCCGCCGCGCCCTGTGAACGACAGCGTCACATCGCATCAGTTTGCGGCATCCTACAGTGATATTAGATAACGAAAACGCGGTGAAGCTCCTTCATGGCATCTGATTGCTTCTTCCTGCCTTCCATCAGCAATGGCGCCCCTTTTTTATGTGCCTCGTGGATGAATCCGGTCCCCATCGACCCAATGATGCATTACCGGCGGAACCGGTCCGCCCACTTAAGCGGAGAAAAAAGCGGACGCCCCTGCGTGACTCGATTCTCCCTCTCGGTTTCGCCATCAGTTCGCCTGCATTGTGAATTTCTCTCTCAATCGTCTACCTTGCTACATTGACTTCCGTGTGGACTGTGTGCATACACTCACCTGATTTCTATATTCACCAAGTTCACTACGTGCAATCAGACCCCTGTCTTAAGAATGAGCCCTCCCGTCGCCGTGGACAATGACTCAATCAACGTGGGCTCGGTTGCCGCAACCGGCCCATTGACGGTCGATGCCATCCCTGCCCTGAGAGCCAAGAGCGCAAAGATTCCCACCGGTGTTGCTCCTGCTACGAACAGTGACATGTTCAAGAGTCCGGTATGTTATTTTCTCGCCTCCCCAACCCGACAATACTCTGTGGCGAAAGACCGACTGACCGTACTGTTCTTTCGTCCAGCACTGCTTCACCAAGCCGCAATCGAAACGCTGGGATCGTAAGTCGTCTAATTACCCCCGTGTCGGCCAATCACTAATTCCTCTCAAGATATCTTCTCCATCGAATCCAAGTCTCGGAAGGTTCGTCCGTTCATACACATCGTTGCGGTGTACATGGATACTGAAGCTTTTGTTAGAGTTCAACCTTGAAGGGTGCTGCGCGGTACCTGAAGAACCCCGGATTGATCTCTCTGGGTGGCGGCCTCCCCTCCCCGGAATACTTTCCCATTGAGCAGCTCTCCGTCAAGGTCCCCAACGCCCCTGATTTCACCCCGGAGGCTATTCAGAATTCCGGTGCTCTTCTGACCGCGAATAAGGGTGACGTGCGCACCGGAAAGAGTCTTTACGGTTAGCTGCCTCCAGCCCCCGCGCGTTAAGTTGCATACTAATCAAACATATGTTTAGACTTGGAGGTTGCCCTTAACTATGGCCAGGCTTCGGGAACTCCCCAGTTGCTTAGGTTCGTGACGGAACACACCGAAGTATGTGGAGGCAATACAACCAAGCTTTGACATATGTGACATGCACTAATCGCTACTAGCTCATTCACAACCCTCCCTATGCCGATTGGCAATGCTGCTTGACCGCAGGTAGCACGTATGCGTGGGACACGATCCTCCGCATGCTTTGCAACCGCGGGGACTACATCATGATGGAAGAGTACACTTTTGCGAGTGCCCAGGAGACTGCGCTTCCGCTTGGACTGAAGGTGGCGCCGATCAGAATGGATGGGGAGGGTCTTTTGCCGGAGTCCCTTGATGAGGTTCTGAGCAACTGGGATGAAGCCGCCCGGGGTGGTCCCAAGCCTTACGTGCTGTACACCATCCCCACTGGTCAGAACCCAACGGGTGCTACTCAGTCTGCGGAACGGCGTAAGGCTGTGTACAAGGTCGCCCAGAAGCACGACGTGTACATTGTCGAGGATGAGCCGTACTACTTCTTGCAGATGCAGCCCTACGCTGGTGCTGACAGCGAGCCCGTCCCGCCCCCGGCGACCCACGAAGACTTCCTTAAGTCCCTTGTGCCATCCTACCTGAGCCTCGACGTCGACGGACGTGTCCTTCGCATCGAGTCATTCTCCAAGGTCCTTTCTCCTGGATCTCGTGCCGGCTGGATTGTCGCTGCGGATCAGGTTGTGGAACGATTCATCCGGAACTGCGAGACCTCGGCCCAGAACCCTAGCGGTATCTCTCAGTTGATCTTCTACAAGCTTCTTGATGAGCACTGGGGTCACTCTGGATACCTTGACTGGCTGATCAACCTGCGCATGCAGTACACTGGCCGCCGTGATACGATGATGCATGCTTGTGAACAGTACCTGCCTCGTGAAATCGCTCAGTGGATTCCTCCTGCAGCAGGCATGTTTGTAAGTAAACTATGGCTACTATAACTCCCGAGTGAGACAATAAGCTAACACACTGATAGCACTGGATCGAGGTTGATTGGAAGAAGCACCCTGGCTTGGCTTCCGGCAAGACTCGTGAATCCATTGAAGAGGAAGTGTTCCTCGCTGCCATCGACAACGGCGTCCTTGTCTCTCGTGGCAGCTGGTTCAAGGCGTCTGGAGTCAACGAGGAGAAGATGTTCTTCCGCGCTACGTTCGCTGCCGCCAGCTCGGAAGGCATTACTGAAGCTATTCGGCGGTTCGGTGATTCTCTGAGAGTCCAGTTCGGTCTGTAGAGAGCGGTTGACTTCTTCAAGAAGATGTAAATACGAAAGAAGTAGATAACCCCATCCTAATTCTAGCGTGAAATCGGTTATAGAGTAAACAAATTGGAAGTTTTTCATGTCACAGTATGGTTCCTCCTTAATATAAGTAGGATTATCATGGAATGACACCCGTATAAAGATTTCCTATAATTAATAGCCTTTCAAAACCCACAAGCTTCATGATTCCTCCTCGTTGCGCAGCTATTATCTATCACATTGGTAGAGCCGTCGGAACCGCGTGAAAACAATATTCCGCCGGTTGATCCACCCACCAGCGTGACACTATCCCAAACGAACGCTCTGGAACTTTAATCGAACGTTTGCCCCAAAACCCTCCATCGACTGCCTTAGATTGTCGATATAACTATCTAACGAGAGAGGAGAGACGATGTATCTTGTTTTTTATTATTGATATTATTCCATCCCGCTCTTGATACCCCTTAGACTTTCTTCTCTTTCGGTTTTGCCGTTGCCCTGATTCCGTTACCCCTGCATTGGCGAACGACCGGCTTCTTGTTCGTTGTCTTGTGGTAGACCAGCTGGCTTGGTCCTAGGTTTCTTGGGTGCTTGTTGTAGGTGAGTGGTCTTGGGATTCTTTATAGATAGCAATAAAGGGTTATGTTTTGTGTCTTTTGGTGGTCGAATTGCTTGCTGGACAACTGTTCGTTGGATTTCTTGCGTTGCTTTCTTCGTGTCACGTGATGGGTATGAGGCGGTTAGGATGCAAGATGCCTAACTAATCAAGCTGGGTCCTGGGCTCAGTGGCTGTTTTGTGTCTGCATGTGAAGCCATTCGTGATCACTGTCTCCATTTTGCTTAACTTGAATAGTGTGCTCTGTTTTGTAGATGCTAGCTGGTGCAGTGCTAACCAGCGTGCAGATTATTTCATTGAAGATTCCGTTTGTTCCAGCATCTGGCATCTGGCTTCTCTGTTCATGCCAGAGAATTGTGCGGGTGAACTCAAGGTTGTGAATATAGAGAGACTTTCAAATATCGCAGATTGTCACTTCTTGGGTGTACCGAAAGGTGAATCTGATTGGTCAGAGTCCTAGCACGTGTACTTCACCATATATCAAATATCTCGATTCACTGGAGCTCGACTGCCTAGCACCTTGGAGAACTGGTTTCTGCCTGGCGCTAAACTAGCGTCTTCTTCTTCTTTACATCTCTCACCGCCTTATATTCACGTCATTGTGGGCTTCAGTGCAACACAGCATTTGAGGTGAGTTTGCACCTGTCCTGGGTGGGCTTTCGCAGTGCTTGGGATTACAGGTCCCCGGGAACAGCACGATGTGTTTCAGTATGTAGCTAACACCTTGTAGTTCACTGGCTGGCTTTATAGGTTTCTGTAAATCAGCTAACAGTGAGAACTGCCCTCCTGCTCCGTGAATGAGACACGGGACGCTCGGCTAGGGCCTCTCGCAGCATCCGATCCGTTCTATATTGGGATACTCCCATTTTTAGCTTGGATGTAAGTTAGTGAATTGGGCGGTCACTTCCCGTGTCTGTTGTTATTTCTTCGTCTTCTGCCGCTTGCTTCTCCTGCTTGTCTTTCTGCGTCGTGTCATACTCGTCGATGAGCCGTGTCCGTGACGATTTCCTCGTTCCTCGTTATTTCTCTCTCAAAAGTCGCGTCGTTTTCTGCGTGATCCCTGGTAATGGCAGGTCTAAGCTCGTTTGAGCCCTGCGAACGCGCCGACGGGTTTGCATCATCCTAATTGCTTGGTTATAAATGCTGATCTAGTTGCAGTCCCCAAGCCTGGCAGGAGTATCGCCAGGGGGGTAATCAAGGCAGCGTAGCGGGCCTAGACGGGCATAATAGTAAGTTTCCGTCGAACTCAGACTCGAGTTTGGAAGAGCTAATCATTATATAGGCCCAAACGAGAGTCTGTTCGAGGACGGAAATAACCGTCGGCAGCGGGGCCTGTTGCATAAGAAGAGCGCGAGTGAGCAACCGGTTTACCGATCTCACCAGCGCTCAGGCAGTAGGCGAGAACGACTGCCATTTTTCGGCAGGAAGGCCACCTCAAAAACACCGGACGAACAATCTCCAGTTGAAACACGTGCCACCAAGGCGGGCGACTCTCTCCGTCGAAGGCGACTCTTCCGTTCGCACACTTACCCTTTTGGTCGTAACTTCCACAGACACTCGCCGCGTACTGGAGGCTCGGATTCCAAGATTGGTTCGGCTCTTCAGAACCTCTTTTGGCCAGGACGGTCCAAAGAAGAAGAGGAAAGAACGGCACCACCAAGATTGACCCTTGCTGACCCGTTCTTAATCAGCGTGCCTCCCCTGACCATTGCTCCCTTATCCACCCACTTCCCCAATTCCTACGAACATCGTCGAGCTCAAGTCTTACCCACAGGCTACTACTGGGATCCTTCCTCCCCCCTCTCTCCACCCTTCATCCACACTCCACCTCAATTTCCTCCGGTGAATTTCCATTCCCCTGGAAACCCTCTCGGTCCTCCCATCACGCCTGTCTCTCCTACTGAGTGTTTCCCAGCATTTGATTGTGAGTCTCCAGGTGCCCAACCTACTCTCCCCTCTATACCCTTGGACGCTGGGAATCATCCTAGTCCCGAGACCTTCATCCGGCCCCGCCAGCCTTCTATCTGTCAACAACCAGTTGATTCCACCATTGGCTTACAAGATCATCCGCTACCCACAGAGCATTCCGATTCCACCATGGATCCCTCACGTGGATCGCGCTTTCTGGACCCGGCGGTGGCTGCCCTCTCCAAGCATAAGGCCGAAGCCATAAAGCTTGCTCGTGAACAGGGTGTTGCTGTCCGAGAGATGTGCCGCAGAGCCAAAACAAATACACCTCCTTATGAATTCGAGGAGTTGATCGGAAAGGGCTCATACGGACGCGTCTACAAAGGCCACCAGCTTCCCTCCAGTAAGGTCGTTGCCATCAAGGTGATGGATATTGATTCTGTGGACTATCAAACTGTTCGTGACTTCAGAGATGAGTCGATCAAGGACTTTATACACGAAATTAGGGTGATGAAGCAGGTCAAGGACGCGGGTGCGAGGAACATCAACGAACTAATCGAGGCAATCTCCATCCACTCACAACTGTGGCTGGTTTGCGAATACTGCCCTGGTGGTAGTGTTAGAACCTTGGTGCGTGCATTCCTCTTGCCATTCTCTGCCTTCGTAAGCATATTTTCTATCTGTGTGCTAATGTCATTCTACTGCAGATGCGAGCGACCGGCGACCGGCTTGAGGAAAAGTTTATCATCCCTATCGCTCGAGAGCTTGCTGCTGGGTTACGCGCCATTCATGATGCCGGCGTCATCCACAGAGATATCAAAGGTAGGCAACTACCTTAAAGCTACCGGGCTTGCGATTGACTATCTAAAGCTGCCAATATCTTGATCCACGAAGAGGGAAGGCTGCAGATCTGTGACTTTGGTGTCGCCGGGGTGCTTCAGTCTCAGATGGACAAGCGGTCCACTTGGATTGGGACACCACACTGGATGCCACCCGAGATGTTTGCGACTCGCGGTGAAGCCCACAAGTACGGTAGCGAGGTGAGCTGTACGCCGTGAAGTAAACTTTTCCATACTGACTGCTACAGATTGATGTTTGGGCCTATGGCTGTACCTTGTTTGAATTCGCCACGGGAAATCCCCCTAACTCGAATCTTCGCGAGCGTATGCAAATCGGCAGACAGATCACACGCAACACTCCAAAGTTGGACACCGATAAATACAGCGACGGTCTTAAGAGCATCGTTTCATTTGCCCTGGAATCCAACCCGGTCACTCGCCCTGGTATGGCAGATATATTGACACATCCTTACGTTGCTGATACTGAGGACGCATATCCTACTGCGTCCCTCAGCGAGCTGGTCCGCATCTATTATCAATGGTCACAGCGTGGTGGTCAGCGCATTTCTCTCTTCCACCCTGGAGGTGCCGCTGCAGCAGAAATCCCCGGCAAAAAGCAAGATTATGAAGAGGACTGGAACTTTAGTACGACAGATGGTTTTGAGCGTCGCTTCTCAGTCATTGATCTTGACCAGCTGGCCGCCTCTCTGGCGGAGATGGAAGATCAAATTAGTCCAACCACGGTGTCTAGCTCGGATCATGAATCATTTGAGGACGGATCGGACAAGGACATGACGCCGGAGGACAAAGCAAACTTTGACGAGCGTGTGCGTCGGGGAGCTGCAGCGATGGAGGGTCTCTTCGATGAAGACAAGCCAAGCTACAAGTATGAAACCAAGAATGACTTCGTCCCAATCGAGCCAAAAGCCCCTACGTCGGATCTTCCGCTTCGCACTGATACCGATCGATCATCAGTCACCTCAACTTTTATTGATATTGACATTGGCTCCTTTGATTCCTCACACTATGCTGCCGGAGCAACCTCGGCCCAGCCATTTCAACTTGCCGATGCGGATACTATTCGAGCGAACCGGACGAGTGGGCGTCAGCACCGGAACTCTGTTGAAGGCCGTTCGCGTTCGTCCAGCAGCGGCGTGAGTAGCAACCGGGGCTCCGAGGATATGACATTCCAGCCCCAGACTGGGCCTCGTCCTCCTACAATGGATTGGAAATTCCCTGTGTTCATGCAACCTCCGACGGAGGAGGCTGAGCCAGCCAGCCCACCAGAACCAGAGACGAAGCCGGCTGAGCCCGACACATCCGATAAACGTGCAACTATGGAATGGACATTCCCCGTCATGACCGCTCCAGCAAATGATGGGGGCGTCAGCAGCGATAACTTTACGGATACTAGTCAGTATGATACACTGAAGGCACCGATTGTGGAGAGCCAGCCTTCAGCCACAGTCCGGCGCTCTAGTATTGGTGAGCCCGGGGACTCCCGACCATCTACGTCTCGATCCGGCGAGTCCAATGGATCTGAGACTGACTATGACCCCTTCCGCTTTGATCGACCTTCCACACCACCCAGCCAGGCGCCCGCGGACCCAAAAAGTCCTGAATATCCCCAGTTGCTGAATACTTTCAAGTACCCTAACTACGACCAGTCCATCATTATGGATGGCCCTGGTCCCGATGAAGAAGAGGAGACGGATGACGCGTGGCAGAAGCCTTCTGAGAACACGGACGATCCCTCTTTGTCTGAACCTTTCCCGACAGCGATCCCCACCAAAGGCATCGACCTCAGCCTCCCCTTCGTCCCGTCTGCAAGTTCCTCCGTATCGGACTCCTTGCCTACGGCTCGGACCAATTTTCCTTCGCTCACCACTGACGACGGAGAGCCGATCCTGTTCCCCGAGCTCCCTCTGCCTCAGCTTGAGCTCTTCATGGCTGGTGCGAACGATCATGCGATAGCTGGGGAGTTGGATCGACTGTTAGAAAGCTTCATTGACTCGTTGAATTCCACCGGACAGGCTTTATCTAGAGTCAATCTGGGTCCGGAGGTGAAAGAGGAGGTCAAACCAGAGGCTGAGTAGGTGGTTAGTCTGTGGCTGGTTTCAGAAAAGAACATAGCGGACTGCTGGCGTCTCATGGGTTCTGGCTGGTAAAAGCACTTGTCGTTGAGGGCTGTTGGGCATATTTCGGTGTTTGTGCTGGATGATACGGTTGAGCAAAATGATGTAAATTGAATTTCTGCAGTCATAATGAAACCATAGTATCTGATGTATGCTGTCAGTTTGACAGCCTGTCGTAATAAGTATTCAGCATTCACTGCAGGTCTAACCCAACTTCTGTATAGGAACCCACTACAACAATACCTGACCAACAAACATTGCAATCACGATCAAGGTCTAGATAACTGCTGTATAATCCCGACCCTCGTGGCTCGACACGAAACTCAACCTCGTCACGTCCAGACGTGACGCGCGTCATGAGGTGGATGCATCTCATTACCATTTCTATATCCGTTCTCTAACTTCAAGTCAACGAAACCATCTCATCATCCCCTCTTGCCTTTTCAAAGTCTCTATCCCCATGATACCAATACCTAGCTAACAATCATCGATCGTACGCCCACACAGACATACACATACACATAGACAAAACAAAATGACCACTCCATCACCTCCACCCTCAACCACATCTCCATCACCATCTCCAACCTCCCACCCAAGAACCACACCAAGAACCAAAACATCAGGAACCATAGATTGGTCCCTCACCCTCCGCACAATCAAAAACCTCTACACCTCCCACCACTACCGCCAATGCATCGCCCATGCAGCAGAACATTTGTCTCTAACGGAGCAGCCGGTACAGTCAAAACTATTCTATCCTATCCTATCTCTATTCCTTAATTATTTCCTAACTACGAGACTATATATTACTTTGAAATGGCTAAGAGATCATGTGCTAACAAGATTCCCCAAATGATCGGATGGTGTTTGTGTGGGTGTATAGATATACAAAACTTATCTCACATTTTACATGGCTGTTTCATATGAAGGAATGGGTCTTGCGGCCCATCAGTTCTCCGGTCAGAAATTGCCTCTTTTGCAGGCTGCTGTGGAGTGGTTTGGGATTTGTGGGGGTGTTTTGGAGGAGGTTCGGGGAGGTTGGGATGATGGCAGTGGGGTGCTGATGTGTGAGGAAGATGATGATGATCCGTTTGTGGAGTACCATCGTCCTGATCATGATTATGATGGGGAAGATGGTAGAAAATGGGATGACGAAGAGGAAGAGATGCTGTTCTCGGGTGAGAGTGACAACAGCTTCAATTATACCAACACCACTATCTCGACGTATAGTGAGGCATCGTTATTCGATGAAGGTGGAGAGGGAATTGAGGATGGGGATGAACGTGGTCTTGTTCCTTCGCCGTTGAAGGTGCGGAAGGTGTCTGGGGAGTTGGTTGGAGGTAGTAGCTCTCTGCAGGGTTCCGAGGGTGAGGACCATACTATGGGTGCGGCGAAGGCAGGAGTTGGGGTTTCGTTACCATTGCCGTTGAGGATTGCTGCTCCTACTACTTCTGCGCCTATCTATACAGGTCCCAAAAAGGAAGTTGGTTTACGAACCTGGCAATCAGTCAAGACACCAGGTTACAAAGGCGAACTACAGACTAACACGACAATCGATTTCCTCCGTCAGCAGGTCACTTCAAGCATCACCACGTTGCATAGAATGATCACGGACGTGGCTGAGATGCAGTATGCACGGCGCATGTCCAAGGGAATGCGACGCTCTGGATCCTTTTGGAGCTTTAGTCCGGTCAAAGAGAAGCAGGTTTCTGGCTGCGATGACATTGGAAAGGAAAGGTCTTCGTTTGGGGTCAAGGAAAGTACAGAGCAACGAATTGCTAGACTGCGAAGGGATGGATGGCAGACAGTGGGAATTCGAGGACAGAAAAGTGGATGGAAGGGGGAGGGGTATTATCGGGAGTATTGTGAGCGAGTGTTGGATGAATTGTATTTGGGAAGATCTTGAGATTGATACATGATGACCATGATGGTTTAGGAGGTATTTGGTGTTAGTTATGGTTTATGATAGGATGTTTGTTAGTGTCATTAGTATACCCATTATGGTAATACAGGTGCTTGCTCAATGAATTGGTTGAGCCTTCTACAAAATCAAGTCGCAAGTCAGACAGCCTAATCAAGCCCACGTAGTAAGTAATCAAGGAAACTAGCTACCTGGAATTTCCACGGGGCTAGCCCAGCAAACCTGCATTCAGCCCGAGTGGAGAAGGACAGGAATCATCCGAAGAGAGCAGGCCGTCAGTCAGCCTGTCAGGGCTAAACGGTGATCCAATGAACCGGCGTCAATCCGGCTAAGCATCCCAGATGAGATTTTAGGCTACATCTCCGCGCCAATCCTTTAAAGGGGGCCAAAAACTTAACAAAAAAAATAGTTTAGTATCAGAAACTTGGCGGACATAGCCCCTTTTTTTATACTGTGACCAATATGTCTCAGTTCGAAGACTCGGAGTGAAAACAAAACAGTTAAAGCGAATACGACATTCTTAATTATGTTTTTGTTCAAGATGAGACCTTTTCTTCTGGAGTGTGGCTGGTGCCCAAGGCACAAAGTCCCAAAATAATTAGCTCCAGGGACTGACTGTTCGGCAATGTTTCAGCCTGGAGGAGAAAGGCGTGTGTCAGCATTGGCCCGCTGGCCGATTTCAGATTTGGGGGCCCCGTTTCACCCTAAGCCACTTTTTATTCTAGATTCCCTCATTTTTCAGGTCGAAAAAAACTCTACCAGAACATATCACTTGTATAAAACACCAGGCTGTGAAGTGAACAAAGTGTCAATACCAGACGGATATCCAGATCCGAATTACACTGCATTATGTAGTGATTGAACACACCAGACTTAACCAATTGTGACTGACTACGGGACTAACTTGCATCCATGGATCAGCCTAAGCCTACTAAAATGCGCTGCCTGGAGGAGCATCAGCCTTGCGTGGCCGCTCCATCACTCCGACCTCCACCATCCAATCCCTATAGATAGGATTTCCCTTCGAGATTGAGCCCCGCTGAGAAGAAACCCCCCCGTGGCTGTGCTGGGCAGCCATGGGATTAATGGGTTAAACTCTATCGCCGGGCCAGAACTTGACCTTTTTCTCGCTCTCTTTTTCCCCCCTCCTTGACCAGATTTAATCGCTCGGCTCGCTAGTATTATTATTTCCTTTCTTCTTCTCTTCTGGTCAGTTTCAGCTGTCTATCAACTGTTTAGCCTCCTTCCTTTCTTTCCTTTCCGACCGACAACAACAGCGCATTGCATTGCCTTGCTTTGCCTTGCCTGCCAGAGTCTTGCACGTGCAGCCATTACCATAAGCGATAAGCAGCGACTCCCCCGATCAGGTACCGTGTGTTTACCCAGTTACTTAGTCTTAGTCTTTTTTTTTCTTACCCCCTATCGGTGGATGGAGGGATTTACCCACCATCAATCAGCCTTCCCCCCTCCCACCCTCCACACGGACACTGTCGCTGCTCGTGTACGGAAGTTAATCCCACCAAATACTTACTTACTTCTTCCGTCTTCCTCCCCCAGATTTCTGTTTTTCAAACCTTCATCCTCGATTCCTCCAAACGCGACTTTCGCGATCTCGTCTCTTGAATCGCCCCGCTACCAACCTCCCTCACGTGCGGGGTTCCCATTCAGCTTCGCGCTCGCTGGTCTCGAGCCCACCGCACACTACTTACTACTCACGGATTAACCCCCTTCCCTAGGGCCTTCACTAAGGCCCTTCTACTCCAGTCACCATGAGTTGTAGGTCTTTACCTTTCCTTCGTTTCCCTTCTCTTGTTTTTCTTTCGTCGCCGATCAGCCATTCGTTCATTCCACGATGGCATACACTTTCATTAGCCCAGCTTGCCATTGACAGCCATTGATTGGTTTCTGTGCTATCGCGCCCGGAACGGCAGCCTCATGTCTTTCATGAGCCATGTCTTTGTCTCTGATTTCCACCATCACCTGGGGCCATTGCGTCCATGCAGGTGGCATTCTCATCCTGTTCTGGCTCTTCGGTTCGATCGTCCCATCACTACTTGCCCTGCTTGCACCCGTCCACCTCTCTGGTGGTTTTATTGAGCGGCTATACTGGTTCTCTCCATTTCTGCAACGTCCAAGCGCTAACCAATGGGTGATTTCACAGTCCATAATATGCTCAACAAGCTGTCGGGACAGCCCGAAAGCTACGAGAAAAAGTACGATAGGACCCTGCTCGCCTCCCCTTACATCTGCAGACATATAATAACCGCTGTGCAACCCGTTGCAGGTCCCACTACAAGTTCGGACGCACACTCGGCGCTGGTACGTACGGTATCGTTCGTGAGGCCGACAGCAGCAAGGGAAAGGTCGCCATCAAGATCATCCTGAAGAAGAATGTCCGGGGCAACGAACGCATGGTCTACGATGAACTAGAGATGCTTCAGGCTCTCGACCATCCCAACATTGTCCATTTCGTCGATTGGTTCGAATCGAAGGTCGGTTGCTTCAAGGATACTCTAGACGGTCCCCTGTCTAACGCTATGGCAGGATAAATTCTACATTGTCACACAGCTGGCCACTGGTGGTGAGCTGTTCGACCGGATCTGCGAGTACGGCAAGTTCACCGAAAAGGATGCCTCTCAGACCATTCGCCAGGTGCTGGGCGCCGTCCACTACCTGCACGAACGCAATATCGTTCACCGAGGTATGTCCTATATATCGTCAATTGTACACTTTCAAGGACTTGGACTAATCTTGGCATCCACTCTGACTAGACCTGAAACCCGAAAACCTTCTCTACCTTGGTCCCGACCCCCATTCCCCTCTGGTCCTCGCAGATTTCGGTATTGCCAAGATGCTGGATAGCCCGAGTGAGGTCCTGACCAGCATGGCGGGCTCCTTCGGCTACGCCGCCCCAGAGGTCATGCTCAAGCAGGGTCATGGCAAGGCCGTCGATATGTGGTCCCTCGGTGTGATCACCTACACCCTGCTTTGCGGTTACTCCCCCTTCCGCTCCGAGAACCTGTCCGACTTGATTGAAGAGTGCCGAAGCGGAAAGATCATCTTCCACGAGCGCTACTGGCGCGATGTTTCCCAGGACGCCAAGGACTTCATCCTCACCCTGTTGCAGCCCGATCCTTCCAAGCGTGTCACATCCGATGAGGCCTTGAAGCACACCTGGTTGACCGGTGAATCGGCCAGCGACCGCGACTTGCTGCCCGAGATCCGTGCCTACATTGCCCGCTCTCGTCTCCGCCGAGGCATCGAGATCATCAAGCTGGCGAACCGCATTGAGGCGCTCAAGATGCAGGAGGATGATGAGGACATCCCCAGCCCGGTGGAAATGGCAGAGAAGGCTTCTGGCACGACGCCCTTCCCTCAACTCTCGCCCAATGGCAAGTCGGATTCCGCGCCAGCGGAGGGCGAGGCGACCGGCACGAAGAAGCGCAGTCTGAGCAAGATTGCCCGCGGCGCCATCTTCCGTGAAGTTGTGCTCGCCAAGGTTCGTGAGGTGAAGGAGAACGAGGAGCGCGAGAAGGTTGAGCGTGAAGCTCGTGAGCGGACCACCCATGCATGAGGCCTGATCGGATGGCGTTGATAGAGACTTGCTTTCTGCTGCTGCACCGGTTCCATTCTTGTTGGGTCACGGACCATCACTGAACTGTTTTCTGTGAATAACTTTCGATGATTCCCCGTCCATATACTGATCTGGCGTATTCTTTTTGCTGTTTCTTGGGTTGCTGAACGAGATGGGACTTTAATGGAGGCTTCGGTTTACGGAGATAATATTCCTTTCTGTGATCTGAATTCATATTCGGCTTGACATGACCTTCCAACTATACGCCGCATGTAGATGACTCGCATCGAAGTAATTGCCTCCCAATAATGATGAACCAAGTAGAAACAACTCTAATCATGACCAAATCAGATGCCGGAATATCACGTGGGGGATGTCCCCAGCGTGATCGGTCCGGACCAATCAGGTGATGGGGTGCGGCCCCGTCAGCCACCGCCAGCAGATGATCGCCCGGAGATACCCTCGCGGCCCTCTTTAAGTAACTTCCTGTCCCCTCTCTTTCATGTTCCCCTCCTCGGTCTCTCTTCACTCAGGTTCTTTTCTCGGGCATTCACTACTACTATATCCCTTAGCACTGTTACACTTCAGTCTATCACTGCGCCCGCCCCGTCCAACAACTCATCCGCCGTCTCGTCGATCGCCCCGCCCTAAGTTGTAGACGTCATACATCTGTGCGCCTCCACGATCTGACAATTCCTTCCCGACAAGGCTGGCCGACTAATACCCACCAGATCTTCCCTGAGCAATCTCCAATAAACCGACTGTCACTTCTGTCTCGAAGAGGCGCTCTGCCCACCATGTTTGCCGGCAAGCGCCTGAGCAAGGTAAGTCATCATGCCACCTACCACCCCGCTCATCATCTCGACCATTGCAACTAACACAAATCTACATACAGGAGCTCCTAAAGGTAATCCATTCCTGCAGCATTCACCCTACCAGACCGATCACAGCCACTATCTACACTCCAATGGCGCCACTCCCTCACAAATCAACTAACACCCCCATCACAGATGAAAGATCACCTTCCCCCCGGAATCACAATCGTCAAGTCCGAAAACCTCGAGGAATGGCAAATGGACATCAAAGTCCTCGACTCCAACCCGCTCTACCAGAACGAGACCTACCGTCTCAAATTCACCTTTAGCAATAAGTACCCAATCGGTATTGTTACCACCCCACAATTACAATTTTCTCCCACATTCCCTCAAATCATGAACAATTCTAACGCATTAGTTTTGAAACTGTAATAGAACCCCCCGAAGTCCAATTCATCGAATGCCCACCCACCTCCGACCACCCCCGTCCCATCCCCATCCACCCACACATCTACAGCAACGGCATAATATGTCTCGATCTGCTCAGCTCAGCAGGCTGGTCACCCGTACAGACGGTCGAGAGCGTCTGCATGAGTATTCAGAGCATGTTGACCGCTAATTCGCGCAATGAGCGACCTCCCGGTGATAGTGACTTTGTGTCGTATAATCGGAGGAGACCTAGGGATATCAATTTCCATTATGATGATGATAATGTATAATGTTTTGGGGGTTCAGTAATTTCTGAAATCGGTGGTGGTGGTGATGGTTGCATTGATATTGGCGCGTGATTATGATCTTCCATTCTCATCTCACATCATATTCAAGTTTCCCTTTTTGATTCACTATTTGATTCACTATTTGCTTGCTTGATTCCTATCAAGGCGAAGAAGGAGTTTAACTGGATTTCGACTGGAGCGTTGGTATTATGCATGAAATGCATTTACGTGTGGGGTTTTTTTTTTTTCTTGTTTACTCTTTCTTTCTTTACACAGTTACATCTCCTGTCTTATATATTACAATATACATACATATACATATTTCGCTACACACACTCTCTTCGGTACACAGACAACTGAAAATTGACCCTATGGTTACATCTAAAATTTTCACGTTTACTTCCCATAAACTACTACTTCTACTACTGTACCAAATCCAAAATCATACTCGATGTTTTGAGTCACTATACACAGGGTTTATGGAAGAGAGAACAAGGAGGAAAGAAAAAAAAGGGGGAGGACAGACACAGTCGACGGAAGCAACATCAGCGACACAGATACAAAGGAAAAAGTTCAACGCCATAAAGCAAAGTAACAAGCAAAAGGACATTGGTACAGCAGGTTGAACCTGGTTTTTGGGGAGATCGCCATAGCCCAAAGGTGGACCTGTTACACAAACTCGCACACAAGCCGAATGTGATGGTAATAGTAGAGACAATTAATCTTTCTCTTGGTATATCTGCAACTTCTAATCGAGATTTTGGCACCAATAAATCAGGGTCATGTGTCTTTGAGCTGTTATACAGGTCTTCGTTGGAGATCAGACGGTCCTATCCTTTTCTACCGGTCAACCTCACCGAACACAAGATCCATCGTTCCTAAAAATAAATGTGTTAGTTTGTTGTTAATATGGTCGAGGCGGTTTGGGTATAGCTTACCGATAATAGCGACAGCATCGGCCAGAAGGTGGCCACGAGACACTTGGTCGAAACCACCCAAGTGAGCAAATCCAGGAGCACGGATCTTGCAGCGGTAGGGTCTCTCGCTACCGTCACTGACCAGGAACACACCCATCTCACCCTTGGGAGCCTCAATGGCGGAGTAGGTCTCACCCGGGGGAACGGCGTAACCCTTGGTGAACAGAAGGAAGTGGTGGATCAGAGCCTCCATGTTCTCCTTCATGGCCGCACGGGGAGGGGGGGAGATCTTGTAGTCCTCAACACGGACGGGACCAGCGGGCATCTGGTTCAGGCACTGGTGGATGATGCGCAGGGACTGGCGGAATTCCTCCATACGGCAGAGGTAACGGTCGTAGCAGTCACCGTTGACACCGACGGGCACGTCGAACTCAACCTGGTCGTAGGCATCATAGGGCTGGGACTTACGGATATCCCAGGGGACACCGGAACCACGCAGCATGACACCGGTGAAACTCATGTTGAGAGCATCGGCAGCCTTGACAACACCAACACCCTGGGTTCTGGCCTTCCAGATACGGTTATCCGTGAGCAGTTCCTCGGTCTCGTCAATGCGGTCACCGAACTGAGTAGCCCACTGGTAGATATCGTCGAGGAGACCAAGGGGCAGATCTTGGGACACACCACCAGGGCGGACGTAGGCAGCGTGGAGACGGGCACCGGAGACACGCTCGTAGAATTCCTAAATTCAAGGGCTCATGTCAGTCATTGCGGCTAGCACACAGCTCAGTATGCCAGAAAACACCTACCATGAGCTTCTCACGTTCCTCGAAACCCCACAGGAAAGGTGTCAGAGCACCAACATCCATCGCGTGGGAAAGGACGGACATGAGGTGGTTCAGAATGCGTGTCATCTCACCGAACAGTGTCCGGATGTACTTGGCTCTTTCGGGGATCTCAACGTTCAGCAGCTTCTCAACAGCCAGGGAGAAGCACTGCTCGTTGGTCATCATGGAGACGTAATCCAATCGGTCGAAGTATGGCAGGGCTTGCATGTAGGACTTGTATTCGATCAACTTCTCGGTACCACGGTGAAGCAGACCGACGTGAGGATCGGCGCGGACGATCTCTTCACCATTGAGCTCCAGAATCAAACGCAACACACCGTGAGCGGCAGGGTGCTGAGGACCGAAGTTGACGGTGTAATGGCGGATCTTGCGGCCGGCTCCAGAGTCCTCGGACTCGAGGGCGGCGCCCACATCAGCCTCCGAAGGGCCCTCCTTGTTGGCCAGAGATGTGAAGGTCGGGTCGGCCGGGATGAGGCGGGTGGCCTGGTAGCTGGTGGGTTCTGCGTACCGGCGAGGCAGCGACGTCGAAATCGTCCGGGATCTGGGGATAGCAGTGTTTCTGGAGAAGCTCGAGGGGCGGAGGCAGAGCCTTTTGGGCGCGCTGCCCGCCAGGCGAGTGAAGGAAGCAGCCATTCGGGAGAGCGGGGAGTGAGGATGAGGGTGAAGCGAGGCGGAGAGCCCTCAATCCAGACGCAATTGGGTTGGAAGGAGGGGGAATTGGCGGGGATTGGAAGCGATGCGGACTGACGCTTGCTCCTCGTTGGATGAGGTTGCGCTTTCCAGGCAAGATACAATTTGGGCAGTCACGTGAGAGGAGCTTATGGTCATCAGCCCGTCTCTGGTTGGTCTGCCGTTAGCCACTTAAAACTCCCGCTCCTAGTGCCGATTTCCTTTAAACTGCTGGGTGTGTTATAATCACCGGTCTCTCCGCCTTTGCGGCCTGCAGAATTTCGAGAAAATACTGCCGCTTCCGCCAAAGAACTTTTCGCAGTTGCTCCCTCCACTTCGTCTGTCCCTCTTCCTCCTCCAAATTTCCCCGCGGCTTCTAAGTCCATCATTCATCATGGCGCCTCTCGTTCCCTCGCAGGAGGAGCTTGATCGCAGAAGGGTATGTTCCGTCTTCCGACCGTGATCTCTTGTCCCTACTTCGTCCATCATACTGACTGCATTGACTTCCAGATCGTCGACATCAACCCAGAGACCGTCTCCAACATCCCCTCCACAGATTTCCCTGGCCATTGGCCCGGCGAGTCGCACGAATGGTCCCTCGAAAAGTTCAAGAATGTACGTTGGTAGTACTCAAGTGTTCGCGCTCACAATGCCACTTCTCCACACAAGTCCCATCAGCTTTGCGCTCACACGTCCTTTTTTTCGCGAACAGGATCTCAAGATCGACTTCCACCGCAACGAGCGTTTCGAATCCTCCTTCTCTCTCATCGGAGTCGACGCCTCCATTGCCAATGCCTTCCGTCGTATTCTCATGGCCGAGGTGCCCAGCATCGCCATTGAATACGTTTTCGTCCACAACAACACCTCTGTCATCCAGGATGAGGTTCTCGCACAACGTCTGGGTCTGATTCCCCTCAAGGGTTCCGTGGAGGGCATCAACTGGATGCGCTGGTTCAAGAAGCCCACCGACGACGATCCCAATGGCAGCAACCCCGCCGACTACAACACCATCGTCTTGCGCTTGGACGTCGAATGTACCAAGAACCCCAACGCGGACCCGGAGGAAGATGATCCCCGCAAGCTCTACAAGAATGCGCACGTCTACGCCAAAGATATCACATTCCACCCCGTCGGTCGCCAGGAACAATTCTTTGCTGGCGATGACGCAATCCAGCCCGTCAACCCGGACATCCTGGTCGCCAAGCTCCGTCCTGGTCAGTCGATCGAGATGGAACTTCACTGTATCAAGGGTATCGGTGCCGACCATGCCAAGTTCTCCCCTGTCGCCACGGCCACCTACCGTCTACTCCCCGACATCAAGATCCTTCGCCCCATCATTGGAGACGATGCCAAGAAATTCGTCAAGTGCTTCCCCAGCGGTGTTATTGGCCTCGAGAAGGTCACTCGTGAGGAAGCCAAGCAGAAGGAGAGCGGATATGAGGGCCACGAGGGCGAATTGAAGGCAGTTGTTGTGGATCCTTTCAAGGATACTGTCAGCAGAGAGTGTCTGAGACACGAGGAGTTCCAGGGCAAGGTCAAGCTCGGTCGCGTCCGCGACCACTTCATCTTCAACATCGAGAGTGTTGGCCAGTTCGAAAGTGATACCCTCTTCCTGGAGAGTGTCAAGGTCTTGAAGCTCAAATGCGCAAGATGGAAGCGTGGCTTGACGGACCTTATGCGCTAAGTCAAAGCCATTTGACTCAGCCTTCCGTGAAAAATGATTCAAAGCTATATAATGCATTGGCCTGGCGTTGGATTGTCTTGTTGATTTTGTACATTTACGAAAAGTTGGTGACAACCTTCTTTACACTTGTTGGGAGTCTGGACTGGGATCTTTTTGTGATAGAAAAAGCAGATTTGACTTCCTAGGTCTTGAACATGATCATCAGAGCATCAGCGATTCTTCGTAACGTGTAGTTGCCGGTCCATCACAGCGGCCCTTCGTCTATTGAAACGCCAGTCGGAAGCGGAAATCGATGATATACGCCGGGTCACTGACTGCAATTTCCTGGCCGTCCTCAATCAAGTCCTTCAGCTTAAGCTTCAAATTAGCGCGAGTCTGTTCCTCCAATTGCGGCGGGAACCGTTGGTAGAGTGTCTTCTCCTCCGTCCTCATACTGGGCTTCTTCAGCTGAGCCTCAGGCCGTTCTCCAAGGGTCTCGATGAATTCCTCAAGCGTCATATTCGGGTTCACGGTCAATTTGCGTGCCAGATTTCCGCACACCGGGCAGTCTGGCTTCTTCTCCGCCTCAAATGTGTACGTGTACACGCCCTCTTCTCCTGCATACATCATATAGTTCTCAAGATACGGGTTGCACGATGTGGCAATCTTCAATGCCTCGGAGGTAGTTGCGGCTGCGATCACAGCATTGGTTGAGGCAATAGCCGGGATGATGTTCTTGACTACTCCCTGAGTCATCTGGAACGTGACGCCGGAGATATTGAACTGCTTCGCCCGCTCCAGAGCAGCATTGTAGACCCAGCCAATGTGCTCCATGTCGTCACTATCGAATGCATCATCTTTGCGCTGTTCCTGCCAGGCAATCTGATGAGCCCATTCGATGCAGTGTTGAGGCTGGCGCGGAATGGTTGCGATGGTACAAAGAGGAACAGCCGGTCGCGGCGCGTGCATGTCAAGCTGACACTCGATACAAGAGGAAAGCGTGGGCAAAATCACACGCGCTTGTCCCTTGAATCCTGTTATCGGTCAGTTGCGCTTTATTCTGCAGTCGGCGTGAGTGAGCAAACATACCTTCTGTTCCACCATCGATAAGTGGCTTCAGACTTTCTGGATCCTCGAAATCGACCATTCCGACCAGAGTCGAGTTAATCCATCGTCTGGCTTCAATGCTATCGAGACCGCAGACGATGATCTTGAATTGCATGTAGTAATCTTCGTCTTTGTCTTGGATCTTCCCTACATACGGTGTGATCTTTACCCCCTTGACTCGTCTTTCTACAAAGGCAGCAGCAACCTCAGCTTTGGGCTTGCCTATGTCTGACTGGCGAAATAGAAATTGTCTGTTCAGGTTGGAAATATCGATCGTATCTGCACATGTTGGTCATTTGCAGTGTTTACAAGTTAGGACAAACTTACCCATGTCAATGACGTGGATGTCTTTGAAGCCTGACAGAGCCAGGTTTTTGAGAATCTCACATCCTAGGCCTCCAGCGCCTCTGTAAGCAGTTCTTGGTTATTATCCATGTAATTCCAAGGGAGTAAGAATCGCCTTGACTTACATGACCCTGTAGTACTGTTAGCGAGCACAAGATTATCAACACGACCAGACACGTACAGAATTTTGGATGACTCTAAAGCACTTATCGTCTCTGATCCAGGGACCCAATCTTCATCGCTGAAGGGTCCAGACTTAGTGAGGACGCTGTATAGATGCTTCCTAGGTGATATGAGCAGCTGCGGCTATGGAGTGAAGAATTCATCTCACCATCGCTGAGGCGAACTTGTAGCAGCCATTTTCCAATTATGTTGTCTAGGGTAGCCAGGTCGCTAATTATTTGCGTCTACTCAAGCTCTTGTTGCATAAGCATGTGATCTCTTGCCTCTGAGCCGCACTTATTGTGAGCTCCTGCGCCAGCTTAGATAATCTGGCGTCCAAGGTATAAGCAGAATAATAGCTCCACAGCCAAGAGCTACGTTGCTAAAAATTCCGAGTTATCAGATTGTAGACAGCGTGGAGGTGATGATGGGATGATGAGGATGGTGAGTCTCGAATGGTCGTTAGATCGATACAAGCACCGCCCCACGTGACCCCTCCGCGCCATACAATTTCCTCCAACTTCCAGAACTTGGTCCTCCTTTCCTCGCAACTATTACGAAGATAATGCCACATTTGTAAAATGCATGGTTTACTTACGGCCGTTAAGACGGTCAAGCACAACCAGCAGCCCAACTTGTCGGCTGCTGCCGAGGGAATATATTCAGCCACCACATCTAACGGCTCTGAGCACCGGTCCAAAGCCGATCTCCCCGGGGACCCAACATCCTCAGATCATATCTTGGCCGTCTTGAAGGCAAACCCCGACGAGCACGATCTTGCTCAAGTTCTAGCCATACTAGATCCATCAAATAAGACAGCAAGTCCAAACGGTTTTGATATCCGCGTTCCGCGCCCAGTAACAGCGCAAATTCTCAATGCTCTGGTTAACATTACAATCCCGGATCATTGGGAGGCTCTTGGGCCACAATCACAGAATTCAAAGTCTGGTAATACAAAGCTGCGAGCTGCTCTTCTGAGATGTCTGAGCAGTGTTGCGGGTATCAGTTGCTTGGTGACCCAGCTCCGTTCTCTCATAGCTGCGTCCCGTTCATCGGCTGAGCAGGCGAAATCATCCGGTCATAAACTACAGATTAGAGATACACTTGCGGTTATTTCCGCGTTGCTGGAGCCGAGCGACTTTGCATTTCGCCTATACGCTGACATGGATGATCTGTACAGCAATGCGACACAGAAGCAAGTGGCTTGGAGGGAGTTGCTCTCGGTGCTTGCTGCCAGTAAAGTATTGTCTACAGCGGCAGAAGCGCTGACTCTGGTCTCTGAGCTTGACGGGATTTCTACAATCTCTTGGATCGGGGAAGGCTCGAAATACGCTACCTGGCTAGGTTCGAATATCTGCTATATGGCATCGAAGACAGCTCTCAGTGATGAAGAGGCTTGGAAATCCGTGGCTCTTTTGACTGGGAGGTCGCTAAGCTTGGGCTATACAGGTATTTGATGAGAAAGCCCTTTACTGATAGGCTTGGTAGGCTAAGCATGATACAGATCAGGTTGTCAAAGAGATCTATACCGGACTTCTTGTTCAGCGACCACTTTCCGAACAGTACAGCTCGCTTTTTGACCGTCTCCGGCCAACGGAACAACTAGCATTGCTCGAAGCTGTCTTTCGGGATCTTGAGAAAAAGCAGTTCTCAGGTGAAATCCCTGGTGACAGTGCCAGCAACACCTCGGGACAAGTGGTCAGTAGCGTGGCAGCTCTCTGCTCAATTGCCGTGTCAAAACGGTCACATCTGCAAGGTCAGATCATCGATTGGCTGTCAAAAGGCCAAGGCGGTTCGATCCATTCGCTTGGGTTGCGCCGTGCTCTAGTGGCTGCATTAGCACAGGAAGAAGGTAGGAGTAAGCCCTCTTGACAATGTTTTTCTAGCTGACATGGATCACATTAGACTCGATCAATACCCTTCTTAGTAAAAGTCTAGATCAATCAGGTGACAAGTTCTACATTCAGCACGCTCCTATTAGGTGTCAAGAAGGTACTGTATCAATGTGTTCTGTATAGCAGAAAGGCACTAACATATATCAGCCAATGCCCAAGTTGTTCTTCTCGCTGCGGGCTACCTCCAGCGGCTTGATGCTGCAGCAATGATGTTTATTGGACGCACCGGACTCTTTCTGAATACCGTCTCAAACCGCCTAGCAGCGTCTTCGCCGAGAGCTCGCTTTCTCGGTATGCTGATTGGAACTACCATTTCGCAGCTCATCGAGCAGCAAGGTAAAGGGATGAGGTTCGATCTCGAGGAGATGGAGAGCGATGAGGCACATTGGTATTTGGACCTTGCCAAAGTACACGATGCTGTTGGGTCTATTGAATCCGTTGATTCGCTCAGAGGACCAGCGACAAAACCGACAGAAAAGCCTACCAAGATAAGGACCTCTGCGACTGATACGCCCAAGAAAGACACTAGAAGAGCAAAGATTGTTGCTATAGAAGAGATTAATGACTCGGATCAAGAGGATGAAGAAGATGAGGATCTCATCCCATATGAGAAGCCCGATGAAGATCCCTCAGATTCCGATGATGACCCAACCTTGGTCCAACGCAACAAACCTACCGCACCAGTGTATGTGACAAAACGAAAAGTAACTTATATGGCCACTAACCATGAGTTAGGTATATCCGCGACCTCATAACCTACCTACGTGACACAGAGAAAGTAGAGCGCTACGAACTGGCTGTTTCCACCGCCCCTTCCCTAATCCGACGCAAGACTGGCTTTGGAACAGAGCTTGCTGAGAATATAGAAGAACTGGCACTCGTTGTCGTGGGCTTACAGGAGCATGGGAAGATCCCCAGATTCCAGGAAATCCAACTTCAAAGTATGATCGCACTGATCGTATCTCAACCTCTCAAGATGGGCCATTGGTTCTCGGCCATATTCTTCGATGGGGACCTATCTCAACCACAGCGCTCTACGATCCTTACAGCTCTAGGCTTGAGTGCTCGCGAACTCGGCGGAAATGGCGAAGCAGACGCTAAAGCACTAGGTCTTCCACGCGTATCCGACGCTTCGTTCCCGTCCAAAAAGCTCCCTGGTAACCTCGAAGCTCTGTATCAGCCTGAGGCCGAATCGCCAATCGCAAACCTAACCAAGCAATTATCACGCGCCTCACTCGAACCACTAGCCGCCGATGCCTCAGATTCCCTGTCTGGGCCCAACGCACTCAAGGTCCGCACATTCTCCTCCCGAATGGAAGTCGAAAAGAAACGTCAGCAACGCGAAGCACAGCGACAGAAGTCCACCGCAAAGGATCTATACAGAGTCCTTGCAGATGGGTTCTTCTACCCTCTGAAGGGTCGTTTCGAAATGATGATCATGCAATTTTCATCGTATGTTCTTCTTCCTCCCCAAATATTTCACAAGCCATCATTACTAACAAACCAGTTCCACCGCTCCCTCCTACAACCCGTTCTATGCTCCCCATCTCCTCAGTCTCTTCATTCAAACACTCACACTCATCCTCTCAACAATGGGCCCTCACACACCCCATCTCGCAGCCGTCACACACGAAACATTGACATTTATGCTCTCGCTCCACGCTCGCCCCATATCAGACGATCCCGGCATCTCGTCCTCCCTTCTATCCCTCTTCCTCGCAGCTGTAGACTTGAACGTTGCCTCCGGGACATCCGGAGAAGAGCGCCTGGTCACTGAATTCGCCACGCAAGTCATGGAGCTGCGCGAATGGGTAGGAGAGATATTTGACAGAACGCCACCGGTTCAAGATACAAGCGATCCGCGAGAACAGGTGCGGACATTAGCTGCAGGTGTCATGGTGAAACTGGGAGAGGTGATAGAGCGATACCAGGGACGGCTGATGGGTGTGAATTCCGGATTCAGGTACTAGTTGTTAATTAAACAATCCCAATAAAGTCTATAACAACCTCAACACGATATACCCAACCTCATGCCAAAATGCACCAACCGTCATGTATGATCCTCTAGAAAAGGCGTCGTCTCTCTCATTCAGTAGTGGTGGTGGTGATGGTGACGGTGGTGATATCTATAGGTATCCTTCCCACTTCCCTGTTGCTGCCTGCGAACGCTCCTATCACAGGTTGGTGACAACGGTACAACGCGCTGATAGTGAAACGTCTGGATTGTGTTCATGCTTTTGTAATTTCCATGTATAATGCATTATCCGATACGTTTGGGCTGTCTACGCAGAAGAGTAGTACCAGGCTCGACGATCTCCGATCCTGCTGGAGCAAGCGCAGATGGTTGGTGATTTCTGTTGAAGGGGCGCATATTTCAACATATATGAATAGTAGATTTTAATAGATAGTACTGGAATCATAGTAATTACAGCGGTGCCAAAAACACTAAGTAAGTCTAGGCCCGTTCCTCACAGGATATCAATGGGGCGGGGCGGGGCGTGCGTGGGACAAGTGATGGTGTGTAGGGAGAGGGGTAATTGCATCTACCTAGTTTAGTAAGTCTGCTACGTGGACGTTGTGATGTGGTTGACATAAATGAGTGCTTGCTCTTCTAGAATCTAGACTTAACAGGTAGTCGGTGCTGGCTCGTTAGAGACGTATTTTGAAGGAGGACATTGTCGGTCCTCTTCTCGTTTTGCTTTGCTTGTAGAGGTGTCAAACGTGGTGGCTTTAGTCATATTGGTCCGGTCCTATTAGGTATGCGAAGTTTCTCTATTTTAGGGGCATGTGTTCTGGATGGAGTTGCAAGTGGCTTGGGAAGTTGCAAGACCATGTCTATTATGCTAAAGTCTCCTTTTTAAAGGAATCTCGCAGAAGTGGAACCGTGAGGGTCAGTTTGGGAGAAGCCTCCAGGATACGGAAGAGCTCTCAAAGCACGAGATGGCCGACGAACGTGCCTCACAGGACGCAGCAGAGCGCGAGGCTCGCAATGCTGTCACTCTCGGGCTGAGTGACCAGAAGACGATGCAACAGTTGTCATCGTCTGGGAAGAGCGCCCAGGATCGCCGGAGAAACGCGACACGTCGGCGTGCTCAGAATGAAAGTGCTGGCAGTCAAGCGGCGACTCAAGGAGACACGGGGCAGAGCGGGAGTCAAAACCAAGCATGACAACGATCAGGTCGATAGTCTAACTTGCAGAAGGTGACTCTGGGTTAGATGGTGCTTCTTGGGCGACTGAAAAGGCATCACGAAGATGACCTTCATATATCTCTTTCTCCTTCAGCTTGCCGTCAAGGAAAGTTTGTATGTCCGGGGTCCAATATGGCGACACAGTCCGTTCAAACTCCACCATCCCAGCATCATCTAGTTTCGAGTATCTTGGTTGTATGTGATCTAGGAAGATATTGTATAAACCTTTGGGGGTTTCGAGTGCGTGAAAGTACCAGAAACTTCCAGTTGCCCAGCCTCGCCTCATGATACTCGCGAGACCCAAAATTTTCTTTCCCGCTTGAGAGCGAGTCTGTTCTTCCTGGTCAAAGACTTCCATGAATTCGGCATGAATCTCATTGAAAGCATCAAGATGTTCTCCTTCGTATAACTGATCCACCCCGCGACTTGTGAGCCAATAGGGCGGATGGAGCATCTCAATCGGTCGTGAGCATGTCCACTCTAGGTCAACGAGTGACTTGATGTTCCAGTCACTGTCGACAAAGAGGTTACTTTGGTGTAGATCCGTCAAGGTCATGATAAACGGCCCACGTCGATGTTTGCGACAGGAGAAATGTGGCAGCAGAGCACGCATTATGGTCAGAGTTGACAGCTGCGCTTCACCGTCGGCCTTGTCTCGTATCGAATTTGGGACATGGCGTAACCGACTGTCATGATAGGACAGCAGGTCCATATAGTAACTATCGCTTGTCGAATACACGAGGTCTCTGTCCATGTTTGTGGGGACGAACTCGTTTTCTAGATGATGAAGACGAAGTGTTAAAGGGCGATTGGTGAGCTTTACAACCCCTTGGTTATCGATTGTCAGAGATCCTATTCGGTCGAAAGGAAACTGGGCTAATGATAGTATAATCTGACTCAACCCGCGGAAAAGGTTGGCTCTGCGTTTGCGGTCGTGGCGTAACCTATCCCAAGTCTCAGAAAGCATCACAGCATCAGAGCTTCCGACGTGGTCCAAAAGTAAATAACCCGTTTTCAGGCTGTAAGGGCAGTTTCCACTTGAGTAAGGTGGTCGAACTGGATACCCGAAAAGAGGCGATAGCACACGATGAAGGTACCATTTTAGGCGGCTGAAGATGGAGGTGTGCTGAATCGCGGTGAACTAGGCCAGGGTTAACTTGGCTCTCAAATCTTCAGCAACTCACTTACACATGGGCCTTGTGCAAATGCGAAGCCCCACAATTGCGGTATGGGTATAGAAGGACAGTTCTGCCGAGTCCATATATAAGTTGCAGCCTCGCAGCGAAGCTTCTCGTCCGAATTCCCTGGTTGTTGACTCTCTCCCACTTTATAGGGCAGGGGAAACCTCATAAGGACCATTTTGGATGTTCTACCATCCTGCCCATCAATGACAACTGGGATGCACACGTTGAAGCTTCCAGAGATCCAGTCTTTGACTTCTTCGACACGGCATGTCTGTTTTTTATTTAGATTCATATGATACGACACAATAGATTCGATTACGGTGCGATGTTGATACAAGTATACATAGAAATCAACGCGCCGTTGTGGATATGATAGCTCTTGGAGGACATTGTCATCGTCGTCTAGAGCCGCAGAGAGACTGATTTGTCCGTGGAGTAGCGGCAGCGCACCCGGCATGCTGGCCGGTCGGGTGGTTTGAGGGATTACAGTGCAAATGAATGTCAATGTAGCCTCTCACAGCACAAAATAAATCAGGCTCGAGGATTTAAACACCCACTGTCTGGCCTAATGCCAAAGATGCAAGGGTTGGGAAGACTGCTAGGTGACTTAAGGGGATAGAGATAGATGGACAACGAGATAGAAGAAAGAAGTAAGGCCAATGTGCCAAGGCCGCTAGCCCCCTTCCGGGTGGAGTTTGTTCTGGCCTGAGGCCCTCAGCTCCGGTACCTAGGATACTTAGGAGGAACGACAAAGAACACTTGGGACACATTCTACAATGCGACAACTATGCACTGCTGCTAATGATCCACATCATTGCCACACCCCACGCTTAGAATGTTGAAGTTTCATAATTCCTGTTGGGCTTGTGGGACCCCACAGACATGAAATGGGCAGCGGTGCACCAACTCCTAAAGCATTACCTACAGACCCCAGGGAATCATACAGTGTGGGATTGATATCATCATTCGCTAACATTAAGTCTTTACTACCTTTCACTCCAACTTCGCAAAATTCCCCTTCTCGATCGCCGCATCCATCATCCGATCACCATTAATAAGGCTCGTCGTACAAATCACAATCTTCCGCCGGGGAGCTTCCTGCGCCGCAATAAACCTCAACGCCGCAATTTCTGTGAATGTAATTCCGCCCAAAAAGAAAACATAAACGGTCTTGATCGCATTATTCCCGCTGATTGTCTGCCGCGCCCTGATGGCCTTGTCGTCACCCTTCTGTACAATGCTAAACGTAGCTCCACGAGCACTCTTCACTACGTCCTCAAAACCCAGCCATCCTGGGGACGAGGCGCTTGCAGGGCTAGGTGTTGCAGCAGTGACAGGTCCGCCTCTGACAAGGGAAAGAATGTAAGGTTTCTGCAGAACACATTGAACAAGACGGATGCTGAGAGGGGCGAACCCGCTATAGACGTACGCAACGTCATTGGGGTCCTTTTCGCTGACCTCTTCAACGACCAGTCGGAGGTTCTTGCGGAGGTAGCCGTAGTTGGTCTTAGTGCCTGTCTGGGCGCCAGCGGTAGGGAGGAGCATGGTGGTGGCGGAAGAACGAGGCTGAAGAAGTTCCATTTTTTCGAGAGCCCAGAAAGTAAGAAGGTGTTGATGGCCGTAGGCTTGGATGATTTGACGTTTGAAGTTTTCGAGGTCGCGGGGGCGGAGACCACCGGACATGCACGATTCAAGACAGAGCAGACGGAGAATGGTCTTCAGAGGAACATCGCGAGCAATTAGCTCCTCAACGGCGTCGTGATGGTATGTAGCGTCGGCGCCCGCGGCGTTGTTTTGTTGGACTTCGAGAATCTTGCGGAAGATATCTGAGCGAGTGGTTCTCATGATTTCTTCCGCAAGGTTGGTATGGACTCGGAGACTTTGATGTTCCAGCTGATAGGTGGGAAGTTTGTTGACGAACTCGCGAAGCTCGGAGGTAGTTTTGGCGGCATGTCGGCTTTCGTAGTCGCTTTCCAAACGGCGTGCAACCTTATTCAATATGTCACCTACAATAGCGAAGTTGGCGTCACGCAGCTGGCTGAAGAGTTGGTCGGAGGAGTCCAGTTGGACTTTCCGCTTTTGTCCTTGTTTTGAGGACTGCTGGGGTGCTTTAGAAGACTCCTGGGCCTGAGGCACTGCCGTAGGCCCGACGATAGAGGTGTCCACATCTGCTTGGTTATTCTTGATGCCCACTGTCTCATCGATCAATCCTTCGTAAGTCAATTGTGTCAGTAGCGCAGTCCCAAAGTCGACTTCGCGATCGATGATGATGAGGCTTTCCGTGCTTGCGCTAGGAAGAAGGCCTCTGGCAGAGACTCCAGCAAGACCCGAGCTTTCTTCAGCATCAAGCTCCTTTCTCATCCGCAGTAGGAGGTCTGCAAGGCGTCGGGCATGGTCACCCTTGCCAATGATACGAGGGAAATAGCCATGTCTTTGCTGGATATCCATGAGGGCTTTTGCGGAGTGGAAGATACATGCCGGATCCTTGTGCTGTGTGCCACTAGGTGTTAACAGTGTTTGGAACAGGAAGTTGTGCTCTTCCTTACCAGGTACAAGTCGCCAAAAGAGTCTTCTAGCTCCAGGGATAGCACATCTTGCTCCAAAGGGGCGAAGTACAGTGGGAATTCGGCAATATTCACATCGCCTATAATGCCGGCTTCTTCAAGGATGGAATTGCTTACAAGGGTCCGCCTCGGAACCCAGAATATGGAGAGTTCATGTTCAACATTGCCGTTGCGCTGAAGACGCTGAATCTGTTCTAGAGGAATGTTAGCTCATACTGATGGCATTCAATCGGGCGTGATTTGAAAGAAGGCCTTGAGATGAGCTGTATACAAATCTCTCTATGTTGGGATCTCTTGACTGACTACGTAGAGTGGAAGATAGATCTGCGTAATCTACTGTTTGTCCCGAAGAGATATAGAGGCATAGCTTCGCCAATGATCGCATGACGAGGCACAGGATAGAGAGGATTTACAATGGGAGAAGGCGACGGGGTGGTGATCCGGAAGAAATGGACATACCTGCCACGGCCCGCACCTGGCGTATCTTTTCCGCGTGGACTAGAAAGACGACGTTGCGCTGAGAGGAGTCCACGTTGCCATTCTCGAGCAGGAACACGCGATCTACACCGTATTCCTGGAGCAGCGAGAACTTGACGAACAGCCCGACTGGACCAGCCAGATCCTGACTGACGACAAGGTTTTTCTTACCACGTACCTGCATCACGAAATTCAGCCCATGCACAAAGGCGAGGAGGATTGCTGCTGCCTTGAGGGACACGTTGGAGGCTTACTCACGCCTTCAAGGAGAGTTAACAAATCCCTACGCGCCTTGTCCCTAAAAAAGTCTGCATCAGACCCTGGATACGGCGCCATGGCTGCGGTGAAGCATGCTCCGGCGATGTGATTGGGAGGGGGGGAAAGGGAAGATTGAAGGGAAGATGACGGAGGGAGGAGAGGAAAGGCGGAAGCAAAACGAAGGCAACCACCAACTCAAAGTGGGAAAGTTTGCACGTTTGCAGCCACTGGTTCGTGGCTGCGAAAAGGGTCCAGCCACCCCACTAGCCTTTTAGAGATTAGTGCGTGCACTGCCTGTCATATTGATGGTTCTGATACCGTCATTACTCTCACAACTACCCATTTTATCTTTCTAGAATGATGTATCAGAATTACCCTCCGCCTTGGGTCTCGACCCTCCATCCAATAATGCCTAAGGAGGCGTTTCCCTGACGGCTGCTGCTCCCCTGACCAACTGGAGTTATTATTATCGTTGGTTTCACATCTTTTGCGCTGGTCCCTCTCTGATCCCCTTTTCTACCTCCATCTGTCCTCTTCTCAGATTCTATCCTCTCGCTCACCGGATTAATCGCTACTAGCATATCCTTGACCTTCTCTCACCCTCACAGCCGACTACTAATCTCTTTCGCATTCCACGCCATGGGCCGATTCGGTTTCAAAAAGTCCGGGGACGACGAGGAGGATTCCGGCAACCGTCTGGCACTTTTCGGCTCCAGATCGAAGAGCAAGAGCCCTGCGCCGCCTGCCAACCCCTACGCTAAACCTATCCCGACCGATCCTTACACCAAGGCCAAGATGCAGGCGGGTGTGGCTCCTCTGCCTGCCGGAGAACAACCGCCCGCAGCTGGCCCCTCTGGTGCTCATAATATCCCCGGAGATAACAAGTATCAAGGGTATGCGCCGAATCGATATGGAAACCAAGGCGGTTATGGATCCGACCGCTTTGGTGGCGGGGGTGCTGCTGCCCCTGCCGCTTCTCGGTACGGCCCTGGCGGCTATGGAGGACTAGGTAGCGCCGATCCCAATGACCCCGCGGCTGCGGATGGCAACAGAGATGAGCTTTTTGGAGGGGCTCGGGATCGGGCACAACAACAACAGCAGCAGGCCGGCCCTCCCCCGCCTTACTCCGAGGGCGGAGCTGCCTATGGCGGAGGCAGCAACGAGTACAACACCTCCACTTACCAGGAGCGTCACCTTACTGCTGAGGAGGAAGAGGAGGAAGAAATTCAGACCATCAAGCAGGACATCCGGTTCATCAAGCAGGGTGACGTCGCCTCAACTCGCAATGCACTCCGTGTGGCTGCCCAGGCCGAAGAGACGGGTCGTGAGACACTTGCTCGTTTGGGTGCGCAGGGAGAGCGTATCCATGATGCCGAGAAGAGCTTGGATGTCGCTACAGTCGAGGGACGGATCGCGGAGGAGAAGGCAAAGGAGTTGAAGACACTCAACAAGAGCATGTTCGCTGTTCATGTGTCCAACCCTTTCACCAGCTCCCGGCGCCGGCGAGAGCGTGATGAGCGGATCTTGAACACGCACCGCGCAGAGCGGGAAACTCGCGAGGGTACCGAGAAGGAGGCTTTCAAGACCAACCAACGGATGGAGCGCACATTCAGGGACATTGACAAGGAGGCGGCCAAGCAGACCACACGCAACAGGACCAACATCACTGATCGTGCCAAGTACCAGTTCGAGGCGGACAGCGAGGATGAGGCGATGGAGAACGAGATCGAACAGAATCTGGATCTGCTTGGAGGAGCTGCGAGCCGTCTGAATGGCCTTGCTCGGGCGACAGGTCGCGAGCTGGACGAACAGAACCGTCATTTGGAGCGTATCACGGCCAAGGTAAGTCCTTTTGAGATCCTGTCACGAAGTCCAATCTCGACTGACTGCTTTGTAGAGCGACTTTGTCGACGACCAAATCGCCATGAACCGGGCCAAGCTGGACAGAATTCATTAGGCTTGCCCTTAGAACCATTACTGACCGCCTGGTGCCGTCGAATTTCTACTGTGCATATCACCACTTGCTACCATATCCTTGGCGTTTTGGGTATTATACTACATTATGCTTGCTATCGGCCTTTTGGCCATTGTGTTTCGCATACGGAGGAAGTAATAGTCGCGAATAGAGATGTCAACTCTTTTAAGTCATACCCAGGACTTTCCATATCGCTTAGACGTAATCTGGTGTGAATTCAGGTGTCTTCTGCATCCAATCCCGCAAATAATTGAAGGGGGAGGTACTTACTTCCTAGGGGCTCCGAAAACGCATAGCTTTCCAATTGTCAACTTCAAGCAATCCTACCGTACTACTACATATGTTTTCCGGCATCGATCAGCCCAGTCCAATGATGTTGTCCTCCTCGACCGGCCACACGCCTAATAGCCGAAGCACAAGCGCCCACTACATTTTCAAGACCAATATGACACTCATGCCATGCCATGCCATGCCATACAAAGTACACTCTACACAGCAAGTCAGCCGACCCATCCCGTCCCAAATCCGTAGGTAATCACTATGAAGCAAAACATAAGCAGCCAACAGATCCTGAAACGCCAAATATATTATATCATATTACACTCCTCTCCGCTCATTAGACAGACACAAAGTCTCATTATCAGTCCATGCCATCCCCACCCCCCACTCACACATACAGCAAGTAATCAAATCAGTAATTAAATCCGAATCTCACAAAAGTCACGGCTAAGGAAAATGAAATTCGGACAAAGAGAGAAGCTGACGTATACAACCCATGTACAAACAACCCGATCTAACTAGGAATGGTATGTCGACAGTAATCTAGTATGCCCCACTGCGCGTATGAGTAGTATGCTATGGCCTCGCGGAAACCGTTACTAATCTGCTACATAACAGTTGCATATTGGGCTGAAACACGGTGGGGACTGTGATCAAAGGAGGCAGATATGTTTTTATTTCCCATCATTAGTATTACTTTCACATATCTTCTTTTGGATATTGAGGGAATTTGATTTTTCTTCTTTTCCTGGTTATTTTTGTTTTGTTTCCGTGTGGAGTTGCCTTTTTAGCCGCGTGGAGATGGCATGATGTCATTTTCATTGTCTGTGGGTTGGAGCAGCTTTTCAGGTGCTCAATTATCATTTAATTCTTTATTTTTTGTTCAAATCATAATATTCAGAAAATGGGACCAAAAGAAAAAACCTTTAGGCTGGAAAGATTGTGACCGGTTATTACACGTTTGTGGTAAGTAATATGATGGTTGTAGGAGAGTATGAATGAAGTTGGAAGAGCTTCGGCTTTTGTTAGTGTGCTGCTATGCTATACACGCACCATACATTATATGCCGCATGTATCTAAGAATAAGAATACGATGCTGTGAGTGAGAGGTTTTCTGGAAATCTTCTGCAATACTCTATCTTGGAATGAATGAATTGGTTATCGGAGGGTACTAGTAGCCGTAGAATGTCCGTTGTGGTAGTTGATGTCCATTGATACGGTATATACCGTCTTGTTGGATTATGTATATTGAAGTGTATAGATTATAGAACAGTTTATCATTCTTAGCAAACACTGGTTTGAATACCATTGACATCAGTTGTAGCACGATTGATGGGGTAGGAAATGTGCAGTACTAGCAGTAGAAGTCGGAGTTCAGTAGAAACAAGCGGCTTAAAATATATTGTCATGGACTATCAGCCCAACGCAACACCCAGTGTTCTGTTCACATCATGATGTTCGGTTCACTTATACCAATCAAGTACTTTATGTAGTAACTTATAAAGTCTCAGTGCGAGCTCCATAGAAGAGCTATAACGCCATATCGAAATGTAGTATCTAATCCATTTGATTCGTTGTTGTGATAATCGGGAGGCAATGAGTAGAGCCCTGCGCTTCAATTCTTCATGGAACGAAGCTATAAATTCGATAAAGCACCAAAGATACCATATCTAGCCTCATTCAGGCTCGTTAACTTATCTAGAGCCGAAAGAAAAAAAAAATAATAAAGACCAAAATGTGAAAGAATATCGAGGCGAGATCCAGCAAGAGCAGAAGCAGACAGCTACATGGCCATCACGTGCCTCATCTTAGTCATCAATCTAGTCCCGCCGCCGAACTTCACCTCACGTCTTCTTGATATTTTCATCGCGAGACATCAGCGCATCACCCTCCACGCCCCCAAGGTCGCTGCTATTGTCCGTTTTTGATCCGAATGTAGCTGCTGTTACCCCTGCCTGGGAGTGTTCGTTCTCTTTCTCGTCTTTGGGATCACCACAACCGCCACCATGTCCGACGGTAGGTAGCCTCCAGATTGCGGACCTTGCTTCTGATGATAGGCTGACAACCCCTTCTAGCTGATTTCGAAGCCGTCCGGAAGCTCCAAGCTGAGCGGAACGCTGCTGCATCTGCGAAGAAAGGTTCTAGGACCTTTGATCCGTCTAGCCAGCGCACTGACAACTCGACCAAGGCCTCCCTGACTGAATCCTTCGATACCACCCTCTACGAACGCGAGGGCGCTGACAAGTATGCGGGATACGACATGTCCATCGCCGTCAATGGCGAAGATGAAGAAATGGAGGATGCGGACGGAGGCCACCGTCTGGTGGGCCAATATACCGCGACAAGGAGCCAGATCGATGAATTTGCCCAAGGAAATGGTGTGGAAGAGGAGGACGTTCTCCTAGGACGCGAAAAGGCGGCCAGAATCGCTGATCGCGAGACGGACTATCAGAAGCGTCGCTTCAATCGTGGTCCGCTGACGCCTACACGCGCTGATCCGTTTGCCGCGAACGAACATGCAAACGTGGAAGGAGAGGGCCAGACCTACCGTGAGGTTATGGCTCTACGTGAGCTTGAAAAAGAAGAAGAGCGTGTTCAGAAGCTGATCGCAGAGAAGCAGGCCCGTGGAGAGGACGATGTTCAGGAGCATGAGGCCACCTTGAAGTCAGAGGACAAAGAAAACGCTGAAGCTGGCTCGACCGTTTCGGTCGCCACCGGTCGCAAGCGTAAACAACGCTGGGATGTGTCATCCGAGCCTACTGAGTCGGCTGAAGCTGAGGCCCCGCAGCCCGCAGACACCAAAGCCAAGAGATCTCGCTGGGATCAAACGCCTGCGCCTGCTGTTCCTGGCGCCGCCGCCGAGGAAGCTCCTAAGCGTCGTTCTCGATGGGATCAAGCCCCAGCCATTGCGGCATCCACCCCCGTGGGTAACCAAGGGCTTGCTACCCCGATGCATCCTTCTCAAGTAGGTGTGCCTATGATGCCCACCAGCTTTGGAACTGATATCTCTGCGCGCAATGCTCCTCTGTCTGATGAAGAACTTGATATGATGTTGCCCTCGGAGGGCTACAAGATCCTCGAGCCTCCTCCGGGCTACGCCCCTATTCGCAACCCGGCGAGAAAGCTTATGGCGACACCGGCACCTATGGCCAGTGCGACGGGAGTCGGAGGATTCATGATGCAGGAGCCGGAGAGCGCTCGCGCGATGGGCAAGCAGCTACCGACTGAAATCCCCGGTGTTGGTGACTTGCAGTTCTTCAAGCCCGAAGATATGGCCTACTTTGGAAAACTTATGGAAGGTGGGGACGAGAGTGCGATGTCCGTGGAGGAGTTGAAGGAAAGGAAGATTATGAGACTGTTGCTGAAAGTGAAGAACGGCACTCCGCCTATGAGGAAGACTGCCCTGCGTCAGCTCACAGACAACGCGCGGCAATTCGGTGCTGGCCCTCTCTTCAACCAGATTCTTCCGCTTTTGATGGAAAAGTCCCTCGAAGATCAAGAGCGCCACTTGTTGGTCAAGGTTATTGACCGTGTCCTGTACAAGCTGGATGATCTCGTTCGCCCTTATGTTCACAAGATTTTGGTCGTCATCGAGCCCCTGCTCATTGACCAAGACTACTATGCTCGTGTCGAGGGTCGTGAGATCATTTCCAACTTGGCCAAGGCCGCTGGTCTTGCCACGATGATCAGTACGATGCGTCCCGATATTGACCATGTCGATGAGTATGTCCGTAACACGACAGCTCGAGCATTTGCTGTCGTTGCTTCTGCTCTTGGTATTCCTGCGCTTCTGCCCTTCCTTCGTGCTGTGTGTCGGAGTAAGAAGTCGTGGCAGGCCAGACACACCGGTGTCAAGATCGTCCAGCAAATTCCTATCCTTATGGGTTGCGCCATTCTTCCCCATTTGAAGGGTCTGGTCGACTGCATTGCCGACAACCTCAGCGACGAACAAGCTAAAGTCAGAACCGTCACTGCCTTGGCCGTGGCTGCTTTGGCTGAAGCTGCCAACCCGTACGGTATTGAGAGTTTCGATGAGATCCTCAACCCCTTGTGGACTGGAGCTCGGAAGCAGCGTGGTAAGGGTCTGGCAGCCTTCTTGAAGGCCGTTGGTTACATCATCCCTCTCATGGACGAGGAGTACGCCAACTACTACACTAGTCAGATCATGGAGATCCTTCTGCGTGAATTCTCCTCCCCCGACGAGGAGATGAAGAAGGTTGTCTTGAAGGTAGTATCGCAGTGTGCTAGCACTGACGGTGTGACAGCCAGCTACCTAAAGGAACACGTGTTGACCGACTTCTTCAAGAGTTTCTGGGTGCGTCGTATGGCTCTGGACAGGAGGAACTACCGCCAAGTTGTTGATACGACCGTGGACCTCGGCCAGAAGGTCGGCGTGGGTGAGATTCTGGAGCGTGTTGTGAACAACCTCAAGGATGAAAGCGAGCCCTACCGGAAGATGACTGTGGAGACCGTGGAGAAGCTTATTGCAGCCCTTGGAGCTGCTGATATCTCCGAGAGACTGGAGGAACGACTCATTGATGGTGTTCTCTATGCCTTCCAGGAACAGAGCATCGAGGATATCGTGATTTTGAACGGTTTTGGAACAGTGGTCAACGCCCTGGGCACTCGCTGCAAGCCTTACCTCCCTCAGATTGTCAGTACCATCCTCTGGCGGTTGAACAACAAGTCCGCCACGGTCCGTCAGCAGGCTGCGGATCTCATCTCGCGTATTGCAATGGTCATGAAGCAGTGTGGAGAAGACGCTCTGATGGGCAAGCTTGGTATCGTACTCTACGAATACTTGGGTGAGGAGTACCCTGAGGTACTTGGTTCTATCCTTGGTGCTCTCCGTTCGATCGTCACTGTCGTCGGTATCAACCAGATGCAGCCTCCTATCAGAGATCTGCTGCCTCGACTCACTCCTATCTTGCGTAACCGTCACGAAAAAGTGCAGGAGAACACCATCGATCTGGTCGGTCGTATCGCCGACCGTGGTCCCGAATCGGTCAACGCCCGTGAATGGATGCGTATCTGCTTCGAGCTGCTGGACATGCTGAAGGCTCACAAGAAGGGTATCCGTCGTGCTGCCAACAACACATTCGGTTTCATCGCCAAGGCCATCGGTCCCCAGGATGTGTTGGCGACGCTGCTGAACAACCTTCGTGTCCAAGAGCGTCAGTCCCGTGTCTGTACTGCCGTCGCCATCGGTATCGTGGCTGAGACTTGTGCGCCTTTCACCGTCCTGCCGGCCCTGATGAACGAATACCGTGTTCCCGAACTGAACGTCCAGAACGGTGTGCTCAAGGCCATGTCCTTCTTGTTCGAGTACATTGGCGAGATGGCCAAGGATTACGTCTACGCGGTCACGCCCCTTTTGGAGGATGCTCTCATCGATCGCGACCAGGTGCACCGGCAGACCGCAGCCAGTGTTGTAAAGCACATCGCGCTGGGCGTGGTTGGTCTGGGTTGTGAAGATGCCATGGTGCATCTGCTGAACCTGGTGTTCCCCAACATCTTCGAGACCAGTCCCCACGTCATTGACCGTGTCATTGAAGCCATTGATGCGATCCGGATGGCAGTTGGCACCGGTGTGGTCATGAACTACGTGTGGGCGGGCTTGTTCCACCCGGCGCGCAAGGTGCGCACGCCATATTGGCGACTGTACAACGATGCGTACGTGCAGAGTGCGGACGCGATGATTCCCTACTACCCCGGCCTGGAAGACGATGGTCTGGACCGGACTGAGTTGTCTATCATAGTTTGAACAAAAGCTATCCAGCGCGTGTCATTTACCATCATCTTCTGTCTCTGTACCCTTTTTCTGCCGTGTGCTTTTCCATCTATCTTCAACATATTGGGGCTTGTTCAATTACGGTGTTTCTCTGGCGGGATTTGGCGTGTCTGAACCATCTTTATCTAAGATATAGTAGTCTATGGCAATATCCAACATTTCAACGTTCAATTTAATTCTATCCCATTTTCTTTCCGACACTTTCCGTAAGCCAATTCAGTAGTCAATGAACTGATTGAGACGATCGATCTCTCAGTCCCCGATCGATCCTCGACTATTGTCTCCCCCGCAATTCCAGCGTGGGGAGCACCCGCACTCAGACTCCGCGCATCATGCCATGCGATCGTTAGTTTTCGAGATCCGAGTTACTCTCCCGATCACTCTAACAGAGCTATCCACTTTTCTCCCTAACATTCCTGTGCTACTTCCGATGACATCAAGCAACGCTGCCCAGACCGACCGGAAAGACTCCCTCCGCCTTCTCCCGTGGCACCGACGGAGCATAACTCTCCGTTTCCCAACCGCCATCCCATCATCGGCACCATCCCCGCCGTCTGTCACGACATACAAAGCCGCAGGCAACTTGAGCACAGATCCCAGAGCACTATGTATCTACTTGATGCGATGATCATCATTCTCCTCCCCTTGGCAGACTAAATGCACTAATGCTCTTTCTTTGACGCATACACCCACACACGCACGCACAGGCACATACACACACAATCAAATCTCTCTAGCACCATGGCTCTCCCCTCAGAATGCGATGTGCTCGTCATTGGCGGCGGTAATGCCGGTTTCTGTGCAGCCATCTCGGCTGTCCAGTCTGGCGCAAAACACGTCTCTATCATCGATAAATGTCCGGAGCAATGGGCAGGAGGTAACTCCTACTTCACGGCGGGGGCGATGCGTACCGTCCACGGCGGATTGCCGGATCTGCTTCCCATCGTGAATAATGTCGATGCGGAAACGGCGAAGAAGATTGACATGAAGCCGTATACCGTGGATGACTTCACGGCCGATATGATCCGTGTTACGGGGCGGCGCACGAATCGCGAGCTCTGCCAGACACTCGTCAATGAGTCGAACTCGGCGATCAAGTGGCTGGCGAGTAATGGCGTGCGATTCCAGCTCTCTTTCAACCGACAGGCGTATGAAGTCAACGGTCGGCTCAAGTTCTGGGGTGGTCTTGCGCTGAAGACTCAAGACGGCGGCAAAGGTCTCATCCAAGATCACTTGCAAGCAGCCCGGAGACTGGGTATTCAGGTGTTCTTCTCGACCGCTGCTCAGAAACTAGTAACAGACCCGGTCTCTGGAGCCGTGACATCCGTGGTGGTTTCGCATCATGGTCGCGACCAGACTATCCGGGCTGGTGCTGTGATTCTCGCGGCCGGAGGCTTCGAGGGTAACCCGCGCATGCGCGCGCAGTACCTTGGACCTCACTGGGACGTAGCGCTGGTGCGCGGCACGCCCTACAACTCCGGGGATGGATTCGAGATGGCGATCCGGGATGTCTCAGCCAAGCAGGCGGGCAACTGGTCGGGATGTCACTGTGTGGCGTGGGATGCTAACGCACCGGCCGATACGGGCGACCGGGAGATCTCCAACGAGTTCACCAAGTCCGGGTATCCGTTGGGCATCATGATCAATCGGCAGGGAAACCGGTTCGTGGACGAGGGGTCGGATCTGCGCAACTATACGTATGCGATGATCGGACGCCAGATTCTCAACCAGCCCGGCCACATGGCGTTCCAGATTTGGGACTCCAAGATGATCCCTTGGTTGCGATCGGAGGAGTACCGGCCGGAGGTGGTGCAGCATATCAGCGCGGCCACAATCAGTGAGTTGGCGGAGAAGTGCGCTGAGTTTGATCTCGAAGATAAGAAGCGCTTCGAGCAGACCATCCATGACTATAACAAGGCGGTTTATGAGCGCCAGCGCAGGAATCCAGGTGGGAAATGGGACCCGGCTGTCAAGGATGGACTCACCACGCAGTCCGAGGGCTTGGAGCTGGCAGTGCCCAAGTCTAACTGGGCGCTTCCTATTGATCAGGGACCGTTCCTGGCTGTTCGAGTCACGGCGGGCATCACTTTCACGTTTGGTGGACTGGCGGTGCGTCCGGAGACAGCCGCGGTGGTGTCGTCGACGACAAACCAGGAGGTGCCGGGGTTGTACTGCGCGGGCGAGATGCTGGGAGGACTGTTTTATGATAACTATCCTGGAGGCAGTGGATTGACGTCGGGAGCTGTCTTTGGACGACGAGCTGGTCGGGCTGCGGCGGCGAGAGTGTCGAACCGACAGGCACGGCTGTAGTGGTGGCTATAGTAGAGTATGCGATAGGATATATACGAGTGCTTGAGTAGCAACCATATAATAGGAATAATTTACTATGTTTACTACATCTACATCTACGGCAGACTTCGATATCATATATATTTCACTGGTAGTAGTAACATGAACCACTCTAAGCAGTAACACATATCCAGGACTATTGCAATAGGGACCCATGTATATATATAAACATCTTCAACACTATAAAATATACTACCAACTAAGAATCACATCCACTACTATCTAAATCCCAACATACATACAACTTAACCGAACTACAACAAAATATCCCTACACCAGAAAAACACATACACCACACTCGGCCTGTACAGACAAAAACTTGCAGTGATTGTGTAATCGACCCAGCTGCACCCTCATCCAGGAACAGAAAATGACAGTAGATAGTAAAAAAGCAATGAGGTCATTCCTCCCTTGCCATTCTCTTTCTCCTCTCCTCTCACCTATCAACCACATCAAAAGAATTAACTACGTAGTTAACATGAATCACAAAAATACGACATCAACCCACACCCCCATCACCCAAAACGCACGAACCACCACCACCCAACCAACATCTGAACAAATCCCATCATCATCATCATAATCATCACCATCACGAAAATACAAAAACCCAAATCCATACGCGCAAGCCAGCCAGCCCGCCAAGGGCCCCTGCAACCCTGCAGCAGGGCAACAAGCAGCAACAACAATAACAAATTCCAACAATGACAATGACAAAAAAAACCCAAAAAGAGAACAGTAAATAAGTAGTGACTTTACAACTTTTACTCCTCTGAGTCTAGTTAACTTAACGGAGTTAGTAAGTAAGTACAGTTAGGTATGTTGCCGCGTAAGCCTTCTCCATCAGCCCATGTCATGTGTGGGCTTGGCCCTGCTTGTTCCGTGTTGTGGGGAAAGGAGCACAACCCATTTGGTGGGATCTTATTGGTTGGGGATGGTGGTGGGTGGTGGGGTTTACCTAGGAGGTGGGGGGGGTCCGTCAACTAAGTTAGTAACTCGTAGGTTGGCCTTTTTGGTATGACGGGATGAGATGATGACTGAGATGATGGTGGTGGTGGTGGGTGTGGGTCTCTTCAGCTTCTTTTCTAATTTACTTAGTTTATGTCTTTAGAGATTAGTTGAGTTGCCTATTATGGTAGGTCTATGGAGGTAAGTAGATAGGTAGTTCTTTTTTTATATATGTTGATGATTATGATGACATTCTTGGTGAGGAGGTGCTTTTTCCAATTTGGGATTGTGGATGATTCGGTTGTTTCTATCGGTTAGTATTCATTCTATTGTTTCTATAGATTGTATCGTGGTTTTTAAGATGAGTAGGTAGCTAGCTAGTTGTGAAGAGGCTTGAGCGCTGTAACTATTCAGTCAGTGACGATGGTGAATGATGATGATGATGATGACCTAAGCGCAGTTGAACATCGGAGGTGACTACGAAGAATACCTAGTTATTGGTTCGGAGGAGTTGTGTTCACAGTAACTAACTGTCTGGACATCAGACATCCAAGTCAAGTAACTAACCTAAAGCACAGACATCAACAATACCTCTGTCAAGAGTTGCCTTAATTAACTTCCTCTGCCTTCAAAAAAACACAATCGGAAACTTATCACACCATGTACCGCAACACGTCCGTAAGCTAACCTAGGAAGTATAACCAGCAACAAGCATATGATCAATCTCTTTTCCCCATTCCCATCACTATCACCATATTATCCAGGCACACATGCAGTTGGACTACTGTACTCCGTGCCGGGAAAAGAGATAGAAAGCAAAAAAAGGGCAGGCAGTGCATGCAGCTGAAGTCGTCATCACATTAATTGCAATTAGCATTGGGCATACATCTATCTGCATGAGGAATGGAACAAAAAAATAAATGAATAATTCATTCATGCCTAGGCCCCCTTCAGTTTTTTCCTTTCTGCACCACATGGGCCCCTGCTCATTTTTCCTGACTAGTGTTTTCTCTCTCCCTCAGATGCAACCCTACTTTTAGCTTCGGATTGATAGGATAAGATTTGTGGAAATAATTTCCAGGGTCGCAGTTGGTAGTAAGTCAAGGTGGGCTGGTGCGCCATCATTCATTATCCCTTGTTCTACAGTACTCATTTTTGACTTAGTCATGTTATTGTTCGGCATGACAAAGCTTGGTTTGGAAGTAAGAAAAGAAAAGAAAAGGGTTAATTGTTTGCGATTCCGAGGGAACATGTGAAGCCGAATTGGATCCAGATGAGGAGAAGGAAGAGGGTGGAAGGAGGTCTTGGTAGGTAGCTAATAGTTTTGGATTCGTGTTTGTTTCAATCTCACACCCTCACTCTCTCTCTCTCTCTCCTCCCCGACCCCTGTAAAGAGAGAGATTAAGGTATGTCGGATGCCCACTAACTAGTTAGGTACTGTAGTTAGCGATGAAGTAGTGAACCGAAAGAAATAAGGAAAGAGAGACCACGACACGAGCGCTTATGACGTCTAACAGCTTCCTTCTTGGCGTTAGTTTCGAATGCAGGGTCCTCTTATAACCAAGAGTTATATTAATAGAAAAGATTAGAAGAAATGGCAATTTAAAAATCTAATTAACAATATATAAAAAAAGGTCATCAGAAATTAAAAACGCAGATTCAATCCATGGTACCGCTCACACACTACGTACTACTTGCTTGGATCACTCATCAGCAGGAACGCATTGATCAAGCGCTAGGAACTAGTTTGAACCCGATGTGCCGTTGGCGATTTCAAATCGCGGCTCCATTTTAATATACTAATAAATAATTGAATAAATGAAAAAAATAAAAGAGGATGATTGAAACTGGGACTTATTTTGCGCGCACGAACACACACACACACAAGTCGAATTTAATCAACTCGAGACACAATCAGATAAACTCATCCCATCAAAATGTTTCAGATTCGTAAGTCAATAAAGATGACAATGACGACTACTGCTTCTGCGGGATGACATCTGTCTATCTTTAGTGTGTATGATTGATACTCACGAGGACTCTCACCCACGACTGAGTCACTACCATACATCAATCACCTTTTTGTGACATCCCGCCAAGGGGGTGATGCTGGTGGTGGCTTGCTCCACTTCCTGCACACTAGACTCGTTTCTGTCCCGTCGGGGGGATCCTAGAGACGCGGCTGTCGCAGGAAGCTTAGTCGTTTGATTCTCATTCAGGGTCCTACACTACGGAGTATCATGGCTGCTGATGCTGCTGGTGGCGGTTTTTGGGTTTTCCCCTTTTCGGTGTCCGCCGCCTTGATGTCAATGTCTCATGTGTCGTGCACGTCTTGTCTGGGCTTGTCTTGTCTCAGGGATATCGTCGGAAATCCCCGCAAATGTAGGTACGGATAGAAGTGTTACGTACATCTCCTGCTGTACATACGAATAAGAAGCAGTACTCCGTAGTGTAGGAGGTAGATACTCCGTAGGTGGCTCTTCCCCCCTCCTCCCTCGGGTGGTGGTACAGAGTTTTGGAGTACATCCACCGCGCACAGATGTATGCTGTCAGGTGAGCTGAAGATAACGGTCAGGGATGTTGGCATTAGACCAGTCTGCTTTTACTTTTATCACCCACCCACGCAACAAACCCCTGAAATTATCACCTCACATCCCAGTCGTAAATATGCAGTAGTTAGTAGTAGTAGGAGTCAGGTTCGGGTTCTGCTTTCCCTATGTTGTGTGTGTGTGAATAAGAAATCAAATGAAAAGAAAAAAAAACATCTAGAACGAAACAGGACATTGCACTGGCGCTTGGATAATGTCATTGTTATTATTAGAACCGTTTAATAAAAAGAAAAATAAGATTGTTGCGTTCGAGAGAGCTGGCAATAATTACGACCTTCCGAGAGAAGCGTAGTCTCTTTGGCAGCAAACGGTGGTGGCATCCATTCAGTGCCCTTCCGTAACTTCCCACGGAAGAGGGGGAAGTGATATCATGGCCAAGCCAACCAGAGCTCAGTTACATGTTCTTGAAGAGTAAACCCGGTGGAGCCCGGACTGGCGTTAGAACTTCATTTTTGACCAACCCTTTCGACAGGGCCAAGAAATGAGCCGGCGCGTTTCAGGTGGCTGCTAGCCCGCAACCCTGAGAGTGGCAGTGTCCTGGTGGGTGGTGGAGCCCGCCAGGATCGCACGCAGGGATTCTGGTCAACGGGCTTGCGGGGTTCAGAATGGAGGCCGATACGGGCTTTAACTTCTTGACTTTTGGACAGAGTTAATTAGAGTTGTTTGGGTAATGTCTATCTTTTTCGTTTGTCTGGTTTAGATTCTATCTGTAACTAAGCGAAAAGCGAAAACAAAACCTACCACTGTGCTGGGTAAGTACTTACAGAACGTTCTGAATAAGATGATTTCTAAAGTAATTTTTCGAAAAAAGCAGGTTTGCATGGCCTGCGCGCTGCGTAAATTATATCCATCCAATAACCATGATAATTCGATATTATAAAAACCATGACAGGAGAAACCCTTGCTGACAACAAACCATATACTGAAACGGGGAAAGCACCATCCCAAGAAGGTATAGCGCTGTGAGATGTGCACGCGTCAGCTCCTGTGGGGCCCCCTCTGTGATTGGGTTATCTGTATGAGCCAAGCTCGGCTATCGACTATCTGCCGTCCCCCGGGGATGTGGCTAACATGCCCTCCCTGCTTTTGCTTAGTCCAGGGATTGAGAAAATTGAATCATAGCGTGGTTTGCCAATAGCGTGACTGGTGATTTCTGCTTGTTGCGTTTGGATCTTAGTTTGCACGCTAAACCAGACCTGACCCGCCCATGGCTTCTCTCTCTACCTCTGTACCTTCTGTTGGATGGAGTTACTTCCCGCCGAGGCTTGCAAGTCCTCATTCTAGGCATGTATGTATGCATGTACAGGCGACGGAATCTCACGGCAAATGCTTTTGCTGCTTACTTTCTTTACCTGCGACGCAGATTGCTTAACTTCTTACATTTCCATCGGGCTGTAAATTAAGCGGATGTGGATCTCCCGAATGGTTTGAGTCGCGGTGGTATATCGGGGTAGGGAACCAATCAGGAACTCAATTGAACGACTCAGGTTCCTCTGACACATTGCTATTGCAATTGCGCAATAGTTAGTGAGTGGGACACAAGACAGGAACACACAGACACATCTAGAGCACCTCCGTAAATTGGTTTAGAAAAGTAGTCAAGAAAGTACTAACAACAGTAAGTAAGCAAAGCAAAGCGCAAGTAGTCCAGTTCCCTGCCGCACGGGAACTGGATTTTCTCGCTTTGCCGCGATTGATCGATTGATGGATGACCTTTCATTCTCATCTTGGCGGGGCTTCCCTTTTCGGGCTGTGGTCCCACGCCACTTTTACCCGTTTAGGATTTTTCTTTTTTTTTTGCATTTCCCATTTTGAATTTTTATTTTCTGGTTCGTCCCTAAGTCAGCCAGTCCCTCTCCATCCACATCCGCGGACCCATGCAAGCCCCAAAAAGGTTAGCTCACTAGGGGACAACGCGGGAGGGGGAGGACGGAGGGGGTGCGAGCGAGTGGGCTTGCGAGCTGAGTGGATGAAGAACCAACCAATATGAACGATTGGACAAGGGATCCATCGCTAATGGGAGGGACTGTCAAAAATTTGGGTATGGGCTGCCACGGGAACGAACCACTCACTGATTTGTACCCATCCTCCTCCACCACCACCACCATCATCATCACCTCCAAATAACAAACCTTCACAAACCCCCATCTAAATTGACTCCAAAAGTGAATATACGCCAGCACGCCGCGCCCGCCCTCCCCCCATCTTCCCTCCCCGACCCAAAAATCTACTAGCTAGCTAGCTAGTTAGTTAGTAGAGATACCGATCAAACCAAACTATAAAATCTCATCTCATTTAGGGTTCCCGAGTTACGAGGTGGAAAAAAAGAAAAGAAGCTGGCACGCCAACGCCAACGCTACACCTAAAATTGCAAAAGAAGATTCATGGAAAGTTCACTTCATGTTCTAGTTACTGTTTAGCATATATTTTTTTTGCCTCTTCGTCTTGGTCCCCACGTCCCATGGCTATACTACTTACTATTCAGCTCCGCTATTCGCTGTTCTTCTGGTCTTAATTTCGGGGTTCTTTTTTTGGTTTCCCGCGGGAATCTCGAGTATCTGGTTTTTTGCTCCCAGGGAATAATAGGAGGGATTTTAGTTGAGATACATCGATGCGATCTATGGATACCATCACAGATGGAGCTAAAGTTAGGTTTCGTAGTAGTGAGTTTTTTTTGTTTTATATCTCGCTTTATACTTTCCGTGGATGGTTCACTACTACTACTAATACTACTGGAGTGTAAATTAGTAGTAGTTTCGTATGTACTCGTATCTATGGCACATGATACAACTCCCATACCCTCATCATTTGTTTTCTTTACGTTGAAACAAGAAAATAAGCGCATAGCACTAATCTTACGTACCCTCTTCTTGTTCCCTTCCTTCCTTCCTTCCCTAAGTATGGTATAGTCTGACCTAAGAATGCTATACTTATATCTAGGAGCAGCAAAAGTAAGCCCAAAACGCCATCATGCCAATCAACGACGATCTGCCGTGTGGGATCTGCCAAGAAAGGAGCCCCGTGCAGATTGACAGATGGTGTTAAAAAACCCACGAAAAAAAAATAAAAGAAAAAAGAAAATAAACAAAAAAAGGGGGGGGAAGGAAGGAAATGCCTGACTCGTTGCCCAGCTTCTAGGTTGATAAATTTGATTGCTAATGGCTGCTATGCTTACTTAGGGTTATTAGTTCGACTCCATAGTCTTACTGTAGTGTATGCTGCTACTAGATACTTACTGCTTGGCTTTGCTGTGTGGTAGGTAGGGGTCCGCAGTTTGAATGATGATCGTCCGTGTTCCTGAAGAAAATGGGATTTTAGATTATTGCTTCGATGTTGGCGTGGGTTGGTGATTGGGAGAGAGAGAGGGGTGCTTGGTGCCACTTATCTATCTATTGATCTAGCTAGCTAGGTTAGCTAGCTGGTAGCTGGCTGGCTATTTATTGCCGACGTCAGAATGATCGACGAGATGCCGAGTTCAAGATTGTTGATGATGGTCGTGATGTTCTATCTGATCGGAGTGGAATGGTAGATTTACTTTACACTACTGCTACTGCTATCTACCTGCTTGCTGGCAATCATACAGTAGTCAACTCTTTATCAATACGTAGTATACAGTATTCAAGCAAGCATCTTGGTAAATATTCTTTCACCCCCTCTCCTTTCATCTCGGAATCCTCGG